GAAAGCCCCTGGGCTAAAACTTCCTTAATATAAGTTAACCTTTGTGGTAGTGCATAATTTTCAGAGGGAACTATATATTCTGCCATTCTTAAACTTGGTAGCGCTATACATGCAAAGGAATACCAATAAAACCAAAACCCTGAAAACTGGCACTTTGTAACAGTTCTAGAACTAGACCCAAATATTCATTACTAACTATTCTAAATCATGGGAGTACTCACTATGTTCATCATTTTTTTACAGGTTATAACATCCCCGAAGAACAACAACTTTTAGTTGGACTTTTTTGTGTAGTCAGAAATTCATAACTGATGGTTTATTTGGGAAAATCTCTGCAAAAATCTTCTTCTGCTTTTGTGTCAACCATATATTTATAGGACTCTCTCCAAAATTATTAGTTTTAAAAGTCAAGATTTTTGTAAACAGCCCCTTCTCAGACCAGTGACAGGACAGAGACACCAATTTAAAAGCTGCATGGAGTCAATTTTCAATCACAAAGCACAAAGAATTTTTAATTAGTGGAAAATAAGTACTCTATCATTTTGTTTAAAGATCTGTATTGGGAATTAAGATGTACCAAAGTTCTCATATGTGCATTTTATGCTGTTAGTTAACTGTGGGATTCTTTTCATGGCATCTTTGCAAGCACAGATTAAAAAAACGAAAAAAAAAAAAAGCAGTACACTCAGGGCTGGATATTTTAAACAATGTGCTATTGCACAAATCACAATTGTGCATGCACGTACCATCCATAATATGCTTGTGGAAATGATGGAATGTCTGTGCGCTGCTTGGGTATGAAAAAATATACAGAGACATCACTGTTAAAAATCAGGTTGTTTTCATGTCCTCCTTCCGCATTTCTTATTTAAAAATAGGAAAATTAAATACTGCAGATTACATTAAAATTCTGCTACAGCTACAAATTTAAGGCACGAAATAAAGTTATTGTAATCTTCAATCTCCCACACACAGAGGGTCCAATCTAGGAAGTTCTGCACATGCAGAACATCACACTGGGCCCAGCGATTATTCCAGATGACTAATTATGTCGGTAAATGTGTACCTTAATTGCAATGAGTCCAGTTCCACCATCAGATATGCAGGCACAGCTCCAATTACTTCAATGGAAGTTGCATGGAGGTATCTGAAGGCAAAATCGAGCACTTTAGGTGAAATTTTTAAAGATGGCCTCTTATTTTAAGGACAGATATGAAAGGATTAAGATATATCAATTAGCGACTTCAGTCAAAAACTCAGATATCTTAATCCTATCATACATGCATGAAATAGACATAGGATATAAAATCAGAGGGAAAATTGAGACCGCTTTAAAAATTTAGCCCTATATGTGTATGGTGCACAGATTACAGTTACTCTAAAAAATAACCCTTTCATTGTGTGACTTTAAGGTGCTTTGCCCTGTCAACTGTATGTTACATTAAATAATTTGTATGAAATAGTATTACTTTGTACTACTCACAATACCTGAGAAAGAATATTCTATTATGTAGTGAGATGCTATTTCGGTGACAATACATGAAAATTACTGCAGTCAAGGTTGGGCAAATATTCAACCTTAACTCTGTAATTCTTGATTTTTGTTATGTTTAAATCCTTAACCTTAACAAAATGCTTATGTTCAAATCCTTAACCTTAACAACATGTTTATGTTCTGGTTTTCATTATTAAATATCATTATATAAAATAACATAAGAACAATTACTGAGGACTGTGAAGTAAATCTAAATTCTCTAATGGAGAAATTTGGTTTTGTGCATGGAGTAAAATGTAATTTAGCACCAGTTAGCTGTTAATGTATTTCTAAGCAAGGAACTGTGTGAAATGTAAGTCTGTTCTAGAAAATACAACCACGTTCTTTCCAGCTTTGTTTACCATGCACATCTGAGCGTATGTTGTATCACCTAGCTCAATTCTGTGATGGAAAATTTCATCTGCCTGATGAGTAGCCTGGTATACTCTTCACATGTTAATCACAAGAAGCAGAAAAAAATCTAACACGGGAGCAAAAGCACATTAGCAGAAGCTGAACAACCATAGGTAACACCACCACACGATCACATTACTTTCTTGGAACACAGCTGGTTACCACAGGTAACGAAAATTTGACATAAACAATACTTCAAGAACTTAACCTGCCTCTTAGAAAAATATGGATCTACTTCCTTTTAGGACATCAGTATTTACAGAGTGCTTTTCCTGGAGCTCTTGAGAGGCAGGACTACACAGTAATTTATAGACTGAAGCACTGGAATCCCAAGACTTCTAAATTCTACAGTGGCTCTAGAATTCAAAATGTGGAGATTTTATTGGTGGTACAACTACCACCAGTATCAGTTGTGTCAATATGTTACTCTTTTTGGTGTCAGAAGTCACATTTCAAAGAGCTGTAACTGTCGTTTCTTCAAGAGCTGCTGATTCAGATGTGAGACCAATCAGTATAAGAAGTAATTGAAAGAAGAGAACTCATCAAGCAGACTGCTTAGATAAGGGGTGCAAGTTTAGAGCTAAAGCTTTTACTACTACTAAACCATGTAAAAGTTGTACAACAATGATGTACATGAACAATCAAGCCATGCAGGAGAGAAAAGACAGACATACGAATGGAATCAAAATGTTATACTTCAATTCCATTAATATATTTATAAACCAGTCTGACTCCTGTAATCCCAGGTGTACTGGGTCTGGCAGGGATGGAGGTGGTTTTCTTCACAGAAGCCTGTATGGTGCCGAGTTTTAGATTTGTTTTAGATTTGTGACTAAACCAGTGTTGACAACAGACCCATGTTTTAGTAATTGCTGAGCAGTGCTTGCACAGCACCAAGGCCCTCTCTGTTTCTCATGCTGCCCACCCCTGCCCTCCCAGCAAGTAGGCTGGAGATTGGGAGGGGACACAGCCAGGACAGCTGACCCCAACTGACCAAAGGGATGTTCCATACCATATGGCATCATCCTCAGCGATAAAATTGAGGTTTGTCTTTCCAAGGTAGCTGTTGCTCAGAGACCGGCTAAGCATTTGTCTGCTGGTGGGAGGTGGTGAGTGAGTGAGTGCCTTTGCATCACTTGGTGGTGGGGTTTGTGGGTTTTTTCTTTTTCTTCATTTTTTTTCCCTTCACTTATTAAACTGTCTTTATCTTGGCCCATGAGTTTTTACTCACTATTGCTCTTCCAATTCTCTCTCCCATCTCATCATGGAGGTTGGAGTAAGCGGACAGCTGTTGGTGCTTATTTGCTGGCTTGGCTTAACTCACCACACCAAGCTATGCAGAATTAACTGCCTGACGTAGTTCTGAATGGTCTTCTGTCAAACAAACAAAAGTTCCCTTAGCTATTACTCTGTTTATTATTCAACTCACTGCTAAGTCCCATCTGGCTTCCACTGTGAATGAGATTCAAAGGAAGAAGACATGGTCTACAAAGATTAAGATCATCTCTCATCCCATAGGCTAGCAGGTCCATCGGCTCCTCCTGGGTTTCTTCCTCACAGGTCTTTAAAGAAACATCCTTGTGAAGACTGGGCACCCTGTACTGTAATTCATAACAGATCTTATAGTATTCTAAATATGCTACATGCTGGAAGTACAACTAAACATCTGGATTTCCAGTCTTTGCAGAGGTGATCATGGTATTAGGAAAAAAAAAAAAAAAAGAATTTAACATATGCACTTAATGGAGAGTTGGGGTTTTTGTTCATAAAGTAATTCAAAAACTTGCTTGTGATAAAAGAAGTTTTGATTAACACTAAAGGCAGTTCTTGGTACATGTGTCCATCATAAGGAAAGTGTTGGAGGATTTTTTTTTATTAACAGACTATAAAATACATGCTGTCCTTCGATTGTCAAAAATATGCAAGTTCATAATATGCTAAAGAAAATAGCTACAGATCTCATTTTCAGCCTGAAACCTACCCTAAAAGAAAATTAGGACAGGCTAAGAGTTGGGGTTTTTTCTGAAAGGAGATGACAATTTCTTAATTTTTCTAGGACATTAGCTGTTTACTAAGAATTTATGTATGAGTCATACTCCTTTAATATGTCAACACTACGGTAAGGTTTATAGAACTACACCTGATGGCATTAACTAGTTGACAGCCCTCATCTTTATTTCTATCCTCAGAAAACTAGTATGGGCACATTTCAACCCTTATCTGCTGTTTCACTGATAGAGAAGTTAGACCTGGCTAGAGTCATAACTGTTCAGAATATATGCTACCTTTTTAATTATGTACAGAGTAACAGAACCATAAGCAATATACTACACTAACATATCAAATATAGTAGGGCAGATAAAGTTTTCTCTTTTTTTATTTTAAAGACTTTAGTAGATAGACAGAATTTATCATATGGCATATTTCTGTTATCCAAAGAATGCGAATCGTAACAGTGGATGAAATGTTACTTTAAAATAAATTCAACCTGCATTGGTATCAACAACACACCAATCCTATGAAAATCTGCAAAATCCTACAAAAACTGCACTAACAGTAGTGATCAGTGCAACAGAAACTGAAGTAATTTTAATGTTTTAGGTCCTCTATTTAAGGTTTGAAAGGGGGACTTAAACTCTATATTATTTGCAAAATTTCTTAAATGGCACAATGTTATAAACACCTATCTGTTAAGCTGATAGCATAATGTATGAAACATACATGGGCTCATTTAAATAAGGATTGTACCACAGGCAGCAATACTGAACTAGCAAGGAACAGCAAATATGCTGTAGCTGCCTTTCTAGATTTAGTTTCTAATTCCTGAGCTTAACTGTTTAGGTATCCCCCTCTTTCACATTACAGCAATCATCAAAGAGAGTCTATATTCTGTAGACTTTGGAAAGCTGTCAATCTTGACGATAAATAACATCTAAAAGAACCCACTCATACAGCTGAAAAAATGGATTAAATAGTTTTACCTCCTGTGTAGCAGTGTGACCATCACCAAATTCCAAGAAAAGCCACGTTACACTCAAAATTGAACTGCTGTATATGCTACACATGTATCTCCAGCAAAATATCACTATCTCTGAAGCAGACACTTGTTGCTATCATCTAACAAATAACAAAGCAAGAAAGCAGAAGGGAAATTTTGGCAAGGCATATGAAAATGAGCCTTTATGCCTACAGAAAGAACCAGAAATTATTAAATGCCATACAGAGATAGGGAGGTTTAGGACATCAAAAATAAACATGGAAAATGGAAGATACTCAATTTAGCTAAGGTCAATGGATTATGATATTTTTAGGAAGACTATCATTCTAAGCATACTGTGTGTGAAAAAGATTCAAAGAGAAGTCATGAGAATGATAGGAAATCCAGGACAAGGCCTTGCAGAAACAGATTTAGGAAATTATTAAAAAGAAAGGAGATATATGGCTTGATTGCGGTCCGTAATCATTTACATGTGGGAAGACTTCTACCAATAGAAGGCTCTTCAATTTAGCAGATATAGGTACAATAATGCCCAGTAACAATGAAGTTAGGTAAAGCCAGACAAGTAGTAAGACATAGGTTTCAAAAGTCAGGTGGTTAAGCACAGGAACAATTTTCCATCGCTTGCTGTCATTAAGTGAATATACCTTTCTAAAAGGACATTCTTGCTCAAACCAAAGTATGGGCTTAATGCTAGAATGACTGGTGACAATACCTGTTCTGTGATTAAAACTGATAACCATATTGATTTTTCCTAGGCTACAGAAAACCTGTGAATGTCTTAGCACTGGCTATAGCATTTTCTGTAATGGTAAAGTACGCAACAGAATTTGCTTTTGAGGCACTTCATGCTTCTGTTCAAGATGGCCAACGCAGAAAGGAGGTGTAGGCAAACAGTACAATTTAGAAATCCTCCAAGTCTTACCTTCACTATTAAATGTTCGAGTAAGGTATGTGACAAGAAGAAATCAGCATCGAGATTTGAGATAGCTGTAACCCTTAGCAGCAGACAGCCTTATGATGCAAACTTTAAGGGAAAAAGTCTAGAAGTCTAAACAACAGAAAGACTTGCTTACACAAGGAAGCTACTGAAAAGTAAGTTGAAGTGAAAATTTATCTCATAAAAACTGTTTTACAGTAAGAGTGTTTCAGGGTCAAAACAAACAGCAGGTTCTGGCAGGTCAACAGGGAATTGCACTTATCCCAGAAGCCAACAGAGATCTGACCTATTCTTCACTCTCAGTCTTAATACTAAGAAGAAAAGTTGAACCATGACAAACAGCTACAGCTACAATGCAGTCTAGAGGCATGTACACTTAGCCTTTCCCCACTGCAAAAGCCAGGAGCTTCATCTGTCTGTGCTGCTTAGATGCTCTGTGGATGGGAATCAAGGGGAAAAAAACAGTATCTGGTTTGAGGAAGTGAGAAGTGGAAGCTGAAGAAGAAACTAGACAGAACCAATGTCCAGAACAAAGGCAGTGAGATTTGGATGGAGGAATCCCCCACTGCAGTGGGCAAGGGAAGCGAGGAGGGAGGGGAGCATTCACTGGCGAGCAGGCTGTGCAGCACAGCAGAGAGAACTCACGCTGGTGTTGGACCAGGATGGAGCATTTCAGAAACAATACAGTCTCCAGGTTATTTCTATTCAGCCTACAGGATGAGTTTTGCAATATGCACGCACAAAGTATCCCTGTGGTAGGTTTCATGACACTAAAAATTCACAGTAACCTCTACTGCAAAATTTAAAAACCACACAAAATTTTGAAATCATAAGCAGATGAATATTTTGAAATATAAGGTTAGTAACACCAAAAAATCAATCAAATAAAGAACTTGTTACCACTTCTCTGCATATACAACTTCAAAAAGTACTTATCGGCAACGTGCAGATAGTGAAGGAGATGGGCTCTGAAGCCTGCTCTGCAGCCCTGCTCCCTGTCCTGGACCAGAACGTGCTGTGGCTCCTGTAAGCGTACGTGCATGGGTTTCCTTTCCATGGGAGCTGATACCACTCTGGACCTCCTCCCAAATCAGAACTGAGGCATGACCAAATCACATAGTCAGACTGCCAAGCTGGAAAATGAGCTTGGATTTCCCAGTACCCACAGAGGCATGGTGGCCATCTTGAGTTTAATAACTTACTCCAGAAGGAAGATAAGCCAATATAAAAATCTGAACTGGTTGATGTAACACTCAGTTCTTCCTCAAAGAGTTTCAAGGATGATCCAAACAGAAGCTTCTATTTAAAAGAAAACAAGAAGAAAACAAACATACTTCTTAAAATTTGAAAAAAGTAAACCACTGGTTTTGGCAGCAATCCAAGTCAGCATTTTTGTAATCTGCTGAAGACCTTATTGCAACCCTCCCCACTGATTAAGTGGAACCAACGCTTGATTTGTTCGTTGTAGATTTATCTGGTCAATGTTGTCCGCATCTGTAGTATATGCTTTCCTTCTCACCTACCCCTCTTGCCACATAATATCCTTTAACCCTTCCTCATCCCCATCTTCCATTCACCTACTGTCTGTTCTTTTTACCTCCTATTCTGCACTGGGGAAAGTCAGAGATGACAGTGGGCTACTAGCGTAAGTCAGCTCAAACTAAGTTACTCATGGTTCCCCCAGAACTGCCAGGACTCCGCTTCTTCCCAGTCCTCTTCTTTTGCCCAGCTCTTTTCTGCCTCTCGGCTTCATCTCCATTCAGCTTCCTTGAGCCAGAGGAATCTGTGTGCATAAAGATCCCACCATCTTCTACGCACTCCCAAATCTTGGGCCAGATCCATCCAAATCTTATGGAAATAAGCTCTTATACAAGCCTGTCAGAGGCATGGTCTAGTTTGTCTGCACAAAGTTTTAAGCAAAGAAACATGCAGTCCAAATCACAGGGCAAGGCTGATGAACTTGAAAGAGGCATAGAGAAACTGGCATGATTGATTTGTATTGTTCTGTTTGAAATATAAATACTGCAGAAAGGAAAAATGACAGAAATACTTTGTAAAATCAACCATTCTTAGCACTTTCTCAAGACATTTCATAGTACATTATTAACACTGCAAAATAACCTGTAACTGCTAATACCTAAGTTAAATATTATTCTTTTTCATCTGTTTTTTTTCAACATTATCATGAAAACATACTCCTGAGTATTGGTGTGAGTGTTGGAGTTTGTAGCTAATGGAACAGCTGCTGTATTTTTACCTAAGCAAGTATGAATATGTCAGTGGGATTCACTCTTTCAGAAAGTAAAGAAGTCATAGGAGATATTCTGATTCAACTCCTTTGACACACCAAAGCCTATATTCAGACCAGAATTTCCCAAGATCTGCAGGACTCGGGACTAAAGGTCAGAAAAGGTTAATGTTAATGCAGCATAGTATTTTGCTGTTAACATTAAAAGGGATTAATTTTAATTTTTTTTTTCATTTTTTTCTCTCCAAGCTTAACTCTGATTTTGAGACAACGCCTACTTTTAGCAAAAAGGAAAAAAAAAAAAAAAAAGGACTTCTCTGCAATGTTGCCTTGATAGGGACATGAGAGACTACACATTTCCCTGGTGGGACAGTCTTAGGTACCTATTGTTTGAGCTCACTGATTCCCTGGTTTCAGCACAGACGTGGAGAATTCATAGGAGGTCAAATTCACAGGAGGTGAGCACTGTATGTCTACCCCTAGAAACGCACCCCACAACAGGACTAACTTTCTGGGTGTCAAGGGCTTCTCATGCAAATAAAATTCAGCTTATTCTTCAGAATCTCTCTGCATATGAAGGATAGTTTCTGGCCATCATCACCTTTAACTATTCCTAAGCCCAGACCTACGAAACATCCTTCACAGATGCCAAGAGCCATGGGTGCATCATAAGAAGCAGATGCTGTGCAGAGCTCAGGAAGAACTTAGGTAAAATCTTAGTCTTTGCGTGACCTTTAACTCAATCAAGCAGCTTCTGAGCTGTTTAAAATACTGTGACTTCTACTCTTAAGTATATTGCATTTCAATAGGAAATTAGAAATCACAAGAGAAACCATTTTCAGATTCTAAAGAGGGGCATTAGATAGCATACAGATATTTGAAAAACAACCTTCTCGCCTGTTAAGCACTGTTAACTAAATACTATATACTGACATGGTATAGACTGAGGAAAAGCCAGTATTAACAGTTGCCAAACATTTGTAAAAAATTACATAAATATTTACCTTTTGTGGAAGAGTTAAAAGTCTCTTGCTCTTCAATGAATTAAATGCACGGAATGATGGAAACAGAAAAAGAAATCAGCAAATTTCATGTTAGATAAAGAAATGTGTTACATGTGACAATGGCATGTACAGTAGGCAGTTCTCGAGCATATGTAGAAGTAATGTAGAAAATTAAAATGATAAACCATGACAAATAATAAAGCCTATGACTTTTTCTTCAAAATTAACAGGAACAATGAAGTTACTGAGACCAGATTGTGGACTCTTTAAGTATTGTGCTCGAGCAGTATTGTCATACCCAAATTTATGCATGACATAAAAATGTTAAAATCGCTTTAAGTATCACTCTCACTCCTGAACCACATAGCCCTGTTTTAGATTCTGAAGCCTTTTCTGCAATAATGAGTTTTACAAAATTATTTTCTGTTAACTGAAATCTATAACACTCAATAACCACTGGAGTATTGAAAATTGGTCTTTAAGGAAAACACAAAAGATTATGAGGCTTGAACTCATTTGCAAGAGCTAGCAATGCTGAGAAAAAATACTCTCCAGCGTGAGTAAAGATTCCACAAGCTGCCTCAAAATATGCAGTGCCACCTAATAATTTCAAAATAAAATTAGAAATATGAAGACAAAACAAACAACGCTAAAAGACTAAAATCTAAAATTGAAATGACATTCTTTTTCTTTTGCCGCTCAACTTTTATACTGATGGATCTGTAAAAAGGTTTGATCTTTTACTGAAAGGGTTTGATTTTTTACCATTCCTCAAGCCATACTCTCTCTGCAATGACATTTCAATGATAACTACATATACACAGAATCGTTTTCATTAGCTATTCATTTTTTTTTTTTTAGGATCTGCAGTTGGTTAAATATAAAAAGATATTTGCGACTCGAATATATTATTTGACAACACACTGATTTTCTGTACGAAATTCTGACACTTATTTGTTAGAAGGAAACACTGGACATCAAAATACTTCATTCCTCTATGATGTGACTACCACTAAAGACTTGTACATGTATTATATGCATGAACTTTATACAAGTAATCACCATTCAGTACCAGTAGTGTCTTCCACGTAGCTTTCCCTCATAAAACAGCAGCACACACGCACGCATGCACTTCACCCTGCATACAAGCTCTGCGCAAAGCTTATGCAGATTTTTCTAACATGACCTAAGATACAGCAATACTTCACGCTAGTCACGCTTTTGCTCTACTAAAGGTCACTGCATAAGGCCTATTGCCATAAACAGATGCCACTGGAAACACATACAACCACACTAGTTCCGTTGTGTCTACAGATGCTCTGTACATGTAAATAGGCCGCTGATTATCACAAATCTTACTCTTGTTATAGGAATTCTGAAACATGAAACCACATTGTTGAGGCTATGAAAAAGAAATCGTGCTTTCAAGAGCCAAATAGAAGTAGACACAGGGAGAAAGATTTGTTCTGCATGAATTAGCTCTTAAAGATTGTTTCTATACTACAAACAATCATTGTATATTTATCGTGCTGGTTCACAAATTTCAATAGTACATACTATGTTTTTTCTTATTCACTTGCTAGATTTCCTAATATTATCTCTAATATTATCTACTGCAGCTAAAAAGGAACATAGAGGAATGCTACAGATCTTCAGGCTGTATTCATTTCCATGATAAATACAATGATTAACCATTATACAAAAGTGAAGAGACCCACACTCAAATCCTATTCAAGCAAGAATTCCTGTGACGTTTGATAGTTGCAATGACAGAGGACAGACTGAGTAGAGATCGCAGAAATATGCTTTATGCAAAAGTATCATTTAAAAACCATGCAACTACGTAACAAAGTTGTTCTAGAACAATGCAGAATCCCGCCCCTTTTTAACGGTTTGCACAGTTTCACTCAATCATGGTGCAAATAAAAAACCCACCAATGCAAATCTCTTACATCTTGGTACAGGATGACGTATTGAGAACACAGCATTGCCTTACCATGGCTTAGAATTTCACTGCTTTAGTCACTGAGACAAAACATCTTCATATTATTAGGTCCTTTTATAAAATTATCAGTTAAAACAAAGAAATAAAAAACATTTCTTAAGTAGCGTAAGTTAGGGTAATGACTACTAAATTGTGACTTTTTGAAAACACAGACACACCTATACCAGACTAACTTTCAATATTCAGGCATTTCGAGACCTTTAGTTGCAATAACATCCCAGTCTGTCTTGCACTCTAGGAAATACTGCTGATGGAGTTGCAAGGGAAAGAAATACAGCCATGTCTTCCTTGAATATTACTGAGGTTAAAACAAAAATCACATTGCCTAAAAATTACAGAAGCTACAATCTTAACTGTAAACGCTTTAAAAAGTCTGCATGTACTGGAGTTGCTAAAAATATTATTTAGTGACAACTGTTCCAAGTGAAAATAATTACCTCCCTTCCCCACTCCAAAACTAGACAAAGCTGCTATCCCCTTTAGAACATAATCACCAAGAAGTATTTTTTTTTTTCTGCTAGTGTGCATAATTATTCTGTTCTGAGGTTTTAGTCCTTAAAGTTGACTTTTTCCTCTACATTTCAGATTTTTTTTCTCTGTTCCTAATCAGTAGTAACTACATCATTCCTGTAATGAAATAGGGACCACTACTTTGGTCCTCTCTGTAAGAATTACTTCTATGAGATTTTTTTTTTTTTTAATAAAGTGCATCTACTAATAAGGATCTTTTTAAACTACCTTATTTTCTCACAAATTGACTTTTTATGATTCTCAAACTGCTGACCAGAGCAGTAGCTAAGACAACATCATCTGGAAGAGACAAGAAACAACCATTCTTTTAGTTCTAAACTTGACAATGACAAAATGGAATGTCCGAGATGCAATGTTAGTCCTAGAAGAAGCCTTATGAGCATGGATATGATCACTTACAATTGAGAGATAAAGATTAAAGAGTGAGAGTTAAATTCTCATCTAAGATTAAGAGTTAAAATATCACTCTGTTTCTCGAGATGAAAACTACTACCAGTCTCTTGCACCTTCATTAACTCTCATTTGTTCAATAATGAGAGCTTTAAAGAGTAATAAAATTACTGTAATGGATTCTTCTATGCCTCCTGAACATGCAAACAGCAAATAAAAAAACCCCACTCTTGATATACAGACATTCAGTCTTTTTACAGCAATTACTATGATTTGTAAAGCAGATACAGATTCATAGATGTATATATTTAGATATGTATTCAACCCTCCTGACACAACAGAATTTGTATAGAGTGTAAAGAAGTACTTTACTGTAAAAATGATACCTTATGGTATATCATACAGGATCTTCTTGAAACACAGGATGTCAATACTGACCACCAAAAAGTAGCTTTATTTATAAATGAAGATAATGCAAATTCTCCAGGCTGACTCCCTATAACATTTGCATATTACACTAGTTTTTGACATCATCTATATCCATGGTGACTGTAGAATTGAAATCATTAAGGACACAATTCAGTTCCAAGTACAGTTAATGTCTTTTTTACAGACCTCAGTTGCTTTGGATTCAATCCTACATCAGGGTCAGATCACTTCTAGCCACTCCATTTGACTCTGATACTCATTTGACAGGGATTAAAGAGGTGAAACTGATATAAAAATTTGATACTGCAAATCAGAGCAAATACTATGGTCTTATAGCCTCCATAAATTTAATTAATTTCTTACAGTAGTATAAAGTTTATACATACTGTCATTTATTTCATAAGATACTGACAAAACCATTTAAAATACTTTATGAAATATATTCAATTTAGTACTTCTCTGCAAATATATTGTTGTCTTGAACAAAATGTTAAACATAGGTAAAATCAGAAAACCTCCCCTTCAAAAGGACAAGCCGGTCACTCAGACAAAACCAAAGTACTATGTAGAGAAGGAAATTTCTTTAGACTTCGATTCCATGTGCCATAATACAGGCATATTGACATAGGCGGTATGATATACAACATATATATAATCCTACTTGTACATTTTATACATAAGACGCAAGCATATCAAGCACAAGTGCAAATCAGAGTTCAGTGAAACAGCATTACTTTACAGATGTTCACGGTATCAACAACTTTCTAAAACTAGATTAGCTTTAGCCTTCTGCTCAACTTTCATTTTTTCTTTCCTTGTTTGTATACATCCCATCTCTACTCATTTGCATTGTCAGTTCTACATTCATTTCCAATGTCTTAAACAGAACACAAACTAGTATTTTAATCTCAACACACCAGTTACCAAGAACAGCAGAAAGATAATAGATGAATACCCAAAGGAAAGTCAACTTAAATTAAAAGCTGATTCATCATTATATATTGAACCAAGTTCCGAAATTGCAGGAAAAAACACGAAAGATATTTGAAATTCATTACTTATTTCATTTCCCTAAAAAGCTCCCAACTTACTAATATGCAGAAATAGAAGCTTTAAATGTAGTTTGTAACTAGTTTATAATCCAGACAGTCCTAGATTCACTACAAAACAAAATGAGAGGACTCAAATGTCAAGTTTAAAATTAATAAAACCCACTTGTATTAGTATATTACTCATTCAGAATAAACACATGTATAAAACAAGAATACATTTTTATATGTGTTAATTGAGGGTGTAGTATGCCATCACAGCTCAAAGCCATAAAATTAATGTAAGATGATTGCATGTTAATGTAAGCCATCACACAAAAAACCTCCTATGGTAATCTATCATGACAAGAAGGTGGTCATAGTCAGCAACATTAGCTATTCAAGAAAGCAGTCTGCCAACAGTTCTACAACGCACCACAATATTTCATTATTAGAAGCATTTGTTTAAATTCCACATAGAAGAAAGCCTTGCAGTACATGGCAATCTTAGTTGTTGCTTGTAGTAAATGAGAAAATAGACTTTTGAAACACAGAAGAAAACCTGTATGTTATCCATTGTGCCATTTCATTTTACCATAATAACTCATACTCTGCGTGTAGTATGTTGCTAGAAAAGGAAACAGCAATATTCATACTTATTTGATATTAATATGTAAAAAACATCTTCCACAACCATTAGGTCTACACTGTCTTTTTCAGAAAAGAGCAGCACTCTTTGCCTGATCAGTTTATTTTTAAGAAAGAGCTGATGACCTGTGCTTCCACATTTCTCATGATGATTATTTTCCTTCTTTACTCACTGAACTATGAACTCCAGAAGAAAAACAGATTTGTGATATTTATTATTAATCTATGTTAACAATGCTCAACAATTAATATAAACCATGAAATGAGAAATGAGTAAGACTGTCAAAATGTTGTCAAAATATTTGGCCCTGATTTCTTTAGCTGAATACAAATAGATATGTGTTGGAAACTACCACGACTCTAATTAATAGAAATTTTAAAGTAGACAAACATAAAAGGGCACTAGAAAATTAAGGCAATTAAACCATGTGTAATAATCCACTGGTCAAACTCTACTGGACTTCCCAGACTACAAATATGCTTTCATTCTCTTCTATTGCTTTATTGGTAGAATTATAGCGTTGAACGTGTAGTTATGAAAGTAGACTTTAAGTAAAGAAAGGTAAGAAATCAAAGAGTTTGAGCTATTATAAGCTCATTATTTGATACCTTGCTCTATACTGCCACTTCTTACTGGAACTTGCGGTAGCTGTCTTCCCCTGCGACTGCTGAAGGATGTGTCTGCAGGAGGAGACTGTGTGGGACTTCCTTGTTGATGTATTCTGCAAATGAAATGAAGATAAAAGTAAAATAACCCAAATGAAGAGAATTTTTCTATTCTGAATTTTAAACACATATTAAATTGCATATACTGAAGATGAGTTTTAAGAAGTCTGTATTTGGTGTATGCCATACGCATATACTCAGGTCTGGATACCTACTAAGCTTGTAAGGCTTTATGTTTAATTTCTCTAACTACCTTCAACTAAGGAGCAATATTTTCCTTTGTTTTGTTGTTTGGTTGGTTGGGTTTTTTGTTTGGTTTGTGGTTGCTTTTTTTTTTAATAAACTACTAGTCAAAAAACACTGAAAGAAAAGCAGTTTTCTAAGAACCATTTATGATGATGACTCACAATTTATGTATGGTCTCCTGCACTGGTAGAAGGGCAATACAAAATGCCACCTCTATATTTTTTTAACTTTTGTATTCCATTTTTGCTAATGAATAATTGCACAAGGCCACAGAGAACTGGACAGCAAGTATCTGTTCCCATGGGCTAATAGGTTGGTTTTCCCTGAATTCAAAGAAGGAAAAAGACTTTTAACCTTGGTATCAGCAGGATGCATGTGTGTGTGTGTGCGCATGTGAAGAATGTACAAGATTGTTAATATTCTTACCTAAGTTAAGATCCTAAACCCCTTTGGCTGAATTCTAGCTAGCACTATTTCAGAGCACCTTGGCTACTTGATTTCTTATACATAGATACAGCATCTGAGTGTAACATTGCAAACACCTTTGTAACACTGGTAAGTTTGCATTTAAAATAAGTAGGGCCACCTTAATAACAAGGGAAAAAGTTTAAGTAAGTAAAACAAAGATGAGAAGAAGCAGACCACTGGGAGGGAGAGCTTACTGTTAAATGCCCTTGCCAGTTACAGTAATATCACACTCACTGTACTGGGTAAGCACTACACTAAGGTTGCAAGTAGATAATCTGCAATTTTAAGTAACACATTTCTGCAAGTTCAAAATACTTTTGGCTTTCACACTACATAGATCAGCTGACTTTCTCTTAGATCAGAGTTAGCTCTGTGAGTTAGTACGATCAGAGTTAGCTCTGTGAACAGCACATGATTTCCTGCACACTGTTTAAGCAAAATACTTTGATAATTTTCATATGGATACAGAACAAAACACAACAATGGAAGGACAAAACACAGCCAATTTTTTACTCTTACATTGCATAACTATTTAAGTTCAACAGCAAGAAGTACCATTTGGATGGTGAAGATAGGCAGCGTAAAGGATAATGGAGAAGTGTAAATACCATGAAGAGAGGATAATCTACAGTGCCAGAATGAGTGAACGTGCCAGGTATGCTCAGGAAAGTACAACACCACACTGACACCTGGGAGGCAGAACATGAAAGCTGTGCTGTACACATAATAGCAACCTTGTCAGAAGTGGAGAAGGTGGCGCCGACCCTCCGGGCACTAGGTGATGTACAGAGCATAAGGGTCTGATACTAGAGTGCTCGCTCGACCTCGAGCGAGCGTGATGTTTTCCCCTAATGACTGGCTGTTCAGTTGTTCGTGGGGTTGGAAGTCCCCTTCTAGAAAGACATGGTAGCAGACCCCTAAAACATCAGGGCCAAAAAGAAACTGTTCAGTTGTTAGCTTCAGGCACACCTTCCCATGCCCCCCTCCACCAAAGAACATTGCAAATCCTGGCTGCAGGACCAGGGGTGACATTTCAGATCAAAGTTATCGGTTCTGAATGCAAATCCATTCTCAAAATGACAAACTGCAGAACACTCACCAGTGCAGATACACACATGACCCTAATTACGGAACTGTTGAACTGCACTGCATGTAGTGGAGACCTGGCCAAAAACTCTAGCTGTATCTTAAACGCAGCAAACACAAGCTGACACCACCTGTAATGTAAGTACTAGCACAGAGTAGGCTATGAATACCTTGTTTTACCACAAAGCATTTCCGTTTCTAGAACATACCTTTTACCTTTATTAAAAATATTAACTGGATTTCAATTAGGGTCCTAAAAAAGGACAATATGTAAGCACATATGTAATTCCCTTGGCTTCCTTGGGAGTCTGAAGTAAGGAATCTATTTAAGTATCTTTCTGCTGTAACCCCTATAACAGAAATACAGTTCTGAAGGAACTCCAATGAAAAGACAATTAAAACATGAAGTAAAATGATTAATGGTGTTAGCATAAGAAAGCATAATTAGTAGTAGTTTAAAAATTGCATACACTGCAAGTATAAGAAAATTTGAAACCTTTCAAGTTTGGAGAGTGACGAAGTATTCTAACTGTGCCTTTTTACTCTTCCTTGGTTTCCCAACAGTGCAGCATTTTGTAAATGGTACTACTGTATCTGCTGTAATTTCAGAAATTTCAAATTCCTGTGACATCATTTCATTGTGGGTTTTTTGGTTTAGTGGGTTGTTTTTTTTAATTTCTGCAAACTTATGAAGTCTCCCTTCACACACCCAGCACCACTTTCCCACAAGATAAAGTCAAAGTAACCAAGGGACTATATCTAGTTCATTTGACTATCACACACTGAAAAGTCATCCTAAAAAAGAAAAGTATATATGAGAAAACATGCAGATGCCAAGCAAGAACAACAGACAGGTTTGGTTTCAAAGCCATTTCATCATAGAATCATAGAATCGTTTTGGCTGGAAAAGACCTTTAAGATCATAAAGTCTAATCGTTAACCTAGCACTGCCAAGTCCACCACTGATCTGCTTGAGGGTAGGAAGGCTCAACAGAGGGATCTGGACAGGCTGGATCCATGGGCCGAAGCCAACTGTATGAGGTTCAACAAGGTGCAGTGCTGGGTCCTGCACTTGGGTCACAACAACCCCATGCAACACGGCAGGCTTGGGGAAGAGTGGCTGGAAAGCTGCCCAGAGGAAAAGGACCTGGGGGTGCTGGTCGCCAGCCAGCTGAACATGAGCCAGCAGTGTGCCCAGGTGGCCAAGAAGGCCAACAGCATCCTGGCTTCTATCAGAAACAGTGTGGCCAGCAGGACTAGGGAAGTCATCAGTAACAGTTTACGTGGAAGTCCAGTCACAATGCAACAAAACCAGGACTCTGCTGCCCTTGCTACATTCTCTGTCTTAAACCCTGATGCTTCTTTAGCTTAACTCCTGGCTTGCCCTGGTGACAACCGTAACATTCTTGCAGAGACTGATTCCTCTGATTCTAAGAAATGTTTATAATAAGAAAGATGAGCTGAGTTCGGAAAATGCCTGTTTCTCTGTGCTGACTGTAAAAGCAACCCATGGCAACTATTGCAAGCAACCAGTTTTTAAGCATTTGGTTTATCAGATGTTTAAACATCATAACATCCATAAGGTAAATATGGATCCCACTCTGTGCCATAAAGTGCTTGCTTGCTTTTACTATGAATGCTCCCATCTAACAAAGTCATTGTGTTCTCACTTCTGATTTTTCTCATTTTAGAGGTTAAATATCCTGGAATATATCTGAGAGCCTAGTGAAGCACTAGGAGAGTCTGTCCTGCCATTACAGAACAGACACTTTACCTGAGACTCAGAAACTTACCTCCTGCTCTTTCAGTAATACTCTTTTTTACAGACCTGTCCCCTTCCACGAGAGAAAGACAGAGGATCTGCTTAACTAAAATGAAGACAAATTAGACTTACGACTTGCATTAGCTGGGGTATTGCATTGAGACAAATATATTACTTGGAGTGCAAATGAAAATAGAGATAAAAGGGAACAGGAGAAAAACTAGAAAGGAGTTAAGGACTTGCTGGCCTAGGAGAAAGATCGGTTGCTGAAGGGAAGTCTGCGAATGGATAATCACAAGAATGAGACAAAAAGGAACAAGAATGGGAGACAAAAGCTAGTGTATGACTGAGGAAACGAGACAGAAGTGAGATAAGTGTGGAGAGGAGAGGAATTTGGGAGAGAAATAATACCTGGTGAGCAATGAGACTACAACAAGCATGTACATGTGTATCTAATCTGGTTCCCCACAGAGGAAGGTAACACTGCAAGCAACAAACCTATTAATTCAACTGGCAATGGTCTACAGGAGAATTCTACAGGTTCCAGTTCTGCCTGCACACAAGAACTCAAATTCCTTTTCCTTCAGACTGATGTCTCAGTGCCATGTACTACATAAAACATGCTGCCACTTACGGAACTATAAAGAAAAACTAAGAATAAGAGAGCATTGCCAATCCAGTGCACTCCTGGCACAGGGTCCTATGTAGAATCATAGAATGATTTGGGTTGGAAGGCACCTCAAAGACCACCTAGTTCCAACCCCCCTGCCATGGGCAGGGACACCCTCCACTAGACCAGGTTGCCCAAAGCCCCATCCAACCTGGCCTTCAGGAACACTTCCAGTGATGGGGCATCCACAGCTGCTCTGGGCAACCTGTTCCAGTGCCTCACCACCCTCACAATAAAGAACTTTTTCCTAACATCTAATCTAAATCTACCCTCCTTCAGCTTAAGGCCATTACCCTACATGGCCTTGTAAACAGTCCCTCTCCAGCTTTCTTGTAGGCCCCCTTTAGGAATTAGATGGCTGCAATAAGGTCTCCTTGGAGCCTTCTCTTCTCCAGGCTGAACCACCCCAACTGTAGAATGTATGACATATATGACAGGTAACCTCTGGCATTTCTGAGCTGAAAGAAAATATTTTTGGATTGGGATGAACCAATTTTTACCACAGTTTTGCTCATTCATACAAGCACAGAAAATGTTTGATTTTCATGTAATCAGTTTTACTCCTTCAGAAGAGTTTACCGAATCCCATCCTGAAGGCTTATCCCATTAAATTAAGAGAACCCTTAGGCTCTGTAAACTGTTCTGTTTCCCTTTTATGTACATTTTCTAAGCTATCACAATACACAGAGAACTTAATCTTACATAGCATGTTGAAAGGCTTGATAGAGAAGATGATAGCATGCTGATATCTTATTTCAGTAATCTGCTTAGCTAATAGTAGACAAGATCTGCAAATTGCAAAATAAAGACCAAATCCAAGGCAGAAATGGATATTTGAGGAAGAAATAGTCTTGAGAGATACTTGTCATTTGACAAGAAAATTAATTGCCTGTCCTATGACCAAAACTTTCTGGCACTAGTGCAACATCATATCTATGATGAAATACTAAACTACTGCACTGGTACTTATTTAGACATTTGTATCTCACATCTAATAGCAATGAATCATTTTATGGAAACAGACACCTACACCATGTGCCATGGAGATGTAAAAAGAAGCAGCACAATTCATGTTTCCCTATGCTCTTGTTGCACTGGGTTCACCACTCTTAAGATCATTAGAAATCAGAGCTGACTTTTCTCTTCTGGAAAGTAAAAATGTAGCTATGGCGATTCACACTTTTGGTAACTTTGCTTTTCAGGGGAAAAAAATCCACCAGATTTTTTTTTTTTTTTTTTTTTTTTTAGTTTTCCTAATCACTTGTGAAAAGCAATTTCACATTTCTTTAAAAAAAACAAAAACAACCAACCCCCCTCCAAAATCCCCAAAGCAACAACAACCTCACCTCCCTCCAAACACTAGTACTAGGTAGTGACTACAACCATTACACGGGAATGTATCAATGCCAAATTGATCTCAGCACAGCAATGACTAAAGTATCAACTTTTAAAATTAAATCTCATAAAAATTCTGTATATAGACACTATAGCAATATTTCACAGTGATCTCCAGACTCACACTTTCTCATATACATGAATAAATCCCCAATCTTATGTCATAATTATGAGAAGCTTTGAAATGTCCAGGAAAAAAAATCTTGACATTTCAGACCTGGGCTGGTCATTTGAAGCAGAGAAACACATGGCCCAAGCCTCATAAAGGCCTCTTCTTCATAAATATAACTACATGCTTATCCTTACAGATGGAGCCCATGTGTTGCTGATGTATTCAGCGTAACACCTCATAATCAGTCTCTGCAAATCAGTTCCTGTATCACCGGCAATACCTGAAATTTTAAGATTTTGATTTACACCTTCCATAGATGTAAAACACTAATTAGTGTAAACAGGATTTATTGACGTATATATTTTTGATCTATGCAGTGATCTTAACATCTGTAGAAGAAAGATGCCCCCAGTTCACTCACTGAAATACCAGGTTTGAAATGTAAATGCATCTATGGAGACATTGCTTTATCCAATTGCAAGTGTTGTGAGGTTTCCTTTTATACTCTGCCAGTGTCTCTCACTCTCTGCTCTGCCCTTCTGCCATCAGAATCTCTTATATTTTCCTTCCTTATCCTTTCTGTTGCCATACTTTCTAGTTATATTATGTTCCCATTTTTTTCCCCTCCCATTTACTTCATTTCTCTTTCCCACCTTATCAATCTTCTCAGCTTCATGCCAAGCTTTCTAACTGTATAGTCTGAATAGTTATCAAGAACTATGAGCGCCTTGGACCTCAATCCCAGTGGCTCCCCTTAGTCTTCAGAAGTTATAAAAAAAAGGGGAGAAAATGACTTGAGTGATCTCAATGGGAAAACTGTCCCTGGTTTAACCACAGCAAGGATTTCAGCCATCATTTAAGTAGTTTATCTGGTCTAAACTGAAAAAGCAACTGGGCTGTTGTGACAATAGAATCATCAAAATCAAGTAAAATGTAACCATTGCTTTTGGATCAGGAGCCATAATCTGGGGCTTGAAGCAGTAAAATAAAATAAAAGCTCTGAACTTTTGCTATATAATGTGCATTTTCATTGAAAATAAAAATGTATCCATGTTGTTCAGAGAAGGTTTTAAACACAATGTAAACAGATGTACACTGCTCCTCTGTTAATCAAGATAACATAAATCTGTCTCTGACAAAGGCAGGATCTCATCCCTCCTCACTGCTCTTATTTCAGCCAATACGCAGGGTTTAAAACTTAACTAAATATACTTATGATTTAGTATATATCTTTTGCTTTCACTTTTTCTTAAGAATTTGAATACATAACCCTATACTACTGTAGCATCAAAGCTAAAATTTACAACAATAATAGAAGTACAGGAAAATTCAATGAAGGTTAAAGTCCCAGTGTTTACATTACCGTTATATCATGATAGATGATAAAATTTTCTATACATATTTAAATGTGTAATTTAACATTTTTGTAATATAAAGTGAAATTAATTTGATCAGAGATCTCTTGAATTATTAATCTGTTAATATATTTTTCTCATCCTCAAAGTTATGGTAAACTAGATGAGATTTTTTGAAAAAAGATCAGTTGTAAAGCTCAGAAAAGGTTTAGCCCCGTACTAATGAAATATGCTACGCATCTCCAAATTTCATTTTACAGAGATGAAGATAGTGTCAATGGGTCTCAGGTTTTGGCTCATAAAATGGTCTTTACCATTAAGTTTATCTGGAATGATGAAGAATGCCAGAAAAATTTCAAATGTATGCAACACAGCAAGCAATGCTAATAATATAGATACAAAGTAACTAAGACCGTAAATTACGACAATGCAGCTTTTGGTACTGTCACAGATTTTCTACTTTAAAAGAAGTCATATTGGAGGTATATTCCAAACATTGGAATCAGATTGATTGAGATGTTTACTCATTGATCAGCAATCCTACCTTTCCGTTTCAGTTGCGGAGCCTTTCCTAGTTTGTTTTTGGCTGCTATATCTTTCCACTTTTCTGGACTGCCTGTGAAATGACATGTCAGAAAAGAAATAAACAAAGAAGAAAAAGAATACAAAAAAATGACGATTATATATTTATTAATGTATTGTAAAGGTAACAACAGAAACGGTTGACAGATGAATAAGTGACAACTATCTTCACAAACAGGCTGGTGAACTCGAGGTTTAAGACACATGGCCCTGATCAGGTTCGACTGAGGCTGATGGTGTGGAAGTTATGAGGTACCAAAACAGGGGAGATGATAACATTAATCCTGACTGAACGTGCAGCTAGTTCCCATTTCACAGTCTGTATTTGATTAGAAACAATGCCTCCTCAGAGGCCCTTTAGTCCTCTCTTGGCAGCATGAAAAACAAACGCAGAGTAGACAGCAGGAAAAAAAAATGTTGCAGAAAGGACCAGAATATACTATTCAAATGTAAACTTTAAAAATTGCTTTTAAATCTAAATTTCAAAAGCAAAATAAATACTGCATCATAATGGTGTCACTATACTAATAAAAACTTGGTTTTTCAAAAATCTCACTGTATTGATACTTATTAAAGTTTTTGAGAAACCTTTTAAAACAATTCTATTTTTTCTAGTCAATATAAATTAGAAGTTTATTTCATTCCTTCACTCCTTTCCTACATAATTTTTTTCTAGAATTCATCTGATATTTGGATAGTGAAGCACTAGTTACCTCTGACAGTCTAAGCATTTACTTTGACAGTAAATAAGAACAACGAACAGTAACATGAGTCAATAAATGTAAGAACAAAAGTAAAGCATGTTTCACTATTATGGCCCAGGACTATAAATATACTATGAAAATCTCTGCAAGTCCTGTGTGTTCCAAAATATCCATTAATGTAAGCATTTACAAATTAGTATTTATTATTTTAAACCTCTGATAATCATCAATATATATTAGGTTTTTTAGGACAAAAAGTGCATAGAGTATTTTGGGAGTGGTCAAAAACAGGGAGTGATGATTATTCAGAGATAGACCAGAAATTTCCACAAACCCTAACTTGCATCTTATACCAGTGCAAGAAACACATATAGGAACTTGTAACAATATAATCAATGTCATACATTAAGCTATAAAAGAATTACTGTGGGCAAAACAAATAGATAAAAATAATATTTAAAAAAATATTTTTTCCTTTTAAACCTTTGTGGTTATAAAGAAGAATCCTGTGTCTGCACGGGAAGATACCTAAGCAGCTGTAAAACCAAATTATACCCAAAGAATATAATCACAGAGGATTTTCATGATTTGTACCCACTGCAATATTTGATGAGCATTATATTGTGATGCAGTATGCTCCACAACAAATAAAATACTGCAGCAAAATACAAAATGTTTTTTGCTTGAGCAGACGTCATTACCTGATGCTTTCCGGGGTTTAAAAGAATGTATTTTCTTACCAAAAAATAATATCTGAGATTAAAAATTAAAATCCCCTGTGCCCTCAAACTATTTTCTCCAGATTTATTTTTTGTATATTCTCATTACTTTTTAATTTTTTTCTTTACCAGGACAAATACAAGGTGGATACACAGGTAAACACGTATTAAATGCTGCAGCTTTACTTAAGACCCAAGGTTAGCAAAGTATTTAAAATTATGGTTAGACCCACTGAATGCAGCAGCATTATCACTCAAATGATGTCAACCTCTTCATTTTCTATTTGGTCAGTTATGGGGCTTATTTTCCTCTTACTCCTTATGTCACTTTCTTAGACTGTGACATTACGTGCCACGGAGAAAAAGAGCACATAGTCACTACTCTTTGTAGGACGGAAAAGCTGAGAGTATGAAATGCTTTCCCATGAAAAGTGACAAAGTACTATATAGCACTAGTGAGCTGAATATACTTATTTCTCTGCCCTCTTTGCGAGCAGCACACATTAGAAATATGTTTAAAATCACAATTTCCTTTCAGTTTCCTTCCTCTTGCCAAAGTGATGCTGTATACAATTCCATAGAGCTCATACAGCCTACTACTGCGCTCGCAGTCCTGGCTCAGCTCGAGCACACTGTGGGCATTAGCAGGTGCATTTTTACAAGCAGGCATCCTTTCATGCCCGCATACAGCGTATGAAGAGTGCACTGGGGATAAAAACATTCATGTCATACTCAAATTTACCTCTTAAATGTACTTTATGGGGGATTAAATACTATCTATGAACAATACATGCATACATGTACTTATACATAAAAAGAGAAAAAACCCTAAATATGTGAAAGTATTACGCAGAGCATATGAAGAATATACTACAACCGATAGCTCATTTACTTGGAACTACGATTTGAGTAAATAAGGATACCTCTGTGCTGCTCCAGGTTTAGCACTTAGGTGGTCTACACTGTCCTGTTTTGGAATGCAAGACTCCAGCGTCCTTGTTCTTCACAAAATTGGGAAACATGGTTGTGAATTTGGACAGAATGAGCAGAAACAGAGAGATGGTCACATGCAGTGAAGGTGAAGACATGCAGTCAAATATATAAACCAAAAGCATTAAGGCACTATCTGCTGAGAAAGGCTGTATTTCTCATTTCCCCTTCTGTTGATTTAATCCATACACTTTAAGGAAGTAATAAAATTTTTAGTCATAATGGCAACAATCTAAGATGCAATAAAGTAAAGAATGAAAGCCACAACAATTTCTTTTAAAACCCTTTATACTTTACATGCTGAATGGCAGCACTGTGGCTTAATAGTTGTCATTATCCTTCTTGAGAATTAATCTACAGTATTATTCATTAGATTAATATATAAACCTATACAGAACATCTTCCCTTAGGAATTTGAAAAATGCATATTTTGTCATTCTATTGTGAAATTCCCCTGAAAATGCAAGTAAATTTTATAATTTCACATATTTTGACAAAAACTTCATATTCTGTTGCCAGTCTGCTACAGTAATAATTAACAACAATTCAATAGCAAAATAGAAAAACTGACACAGCTTCTTTTAAAAATTCAAAGAAAGTTCAGAATATTTATTAATTTCTATAGCATTTTCATTTCTGCTGAAGCTGTTTAAAAAGTTCAGAATTCATTTACAGCTTTCAATTTGGCATAAATATTATTTGCTTGTTGGTTTATCATTAGTTTTTTATGGAATATATGGTAAAACAATATTTTTTTCTTGATAAGTGTATCAATGTAAGATTTTTTTTCAAATACAGAACTCAGCTTTTAATGAGAAAATTCAGCAAAATTAGCAGTCCACTAATGATCTAGGATATGTAATAAATTTGCGTCTATATCTCCATTATGGTGAGGAAATGCTAAAATTTCTCTTAATGCCATAAATCTACCAACTGTCACACCAAATCACTGATCAATAAGGCCTTTTAATGTATACAGACATGCACTTTTTATATATAATTTTATGTACAGACAAGCTATTCACAGTTCATGTTCCAAAGACCTATGTGCCTCAAAATATTTATCACTGTTGAGCGTAAACAAAATCTACACACAGAAATATCATAATATTCCTATGAAAATTAAAAATTACTATTCCTAAAGTGACAAAAAAATTTTTTTTATAAAATTCAGTGTCTAACATTTAAAATTATTTATTACTGACTTGTACAGGAGACCTCAGTGGTTTGCAGTAAGTGTGTTCATCTATGTAGCCTTAAAGTCATCAAGAATGTCATGTTCAATACTTCCTGATTTTTCCTGAAGATTTCTGAAAGGTTAGATCTACACGGTATGTGAGCTGGGAGGTCACAACTATTCCAAAGGCTTGGTAGCGCCTCACACTCATTCCTAGCACTTCAGTTTATGTCTTGTGAAATTGTGTTCCTGATCAAGTCACATAGTGTTGCTGGAAAGATGGGAAGGGATCGTCCAGACCAAATCAGTCTGCCACTAGCAGTGCGTGGCACACCTCAAGTGAAAGTACCAGAAGGGTACTTGCTCCACAGCTGGCTTCAGGATGGCTCTTGGACAAGCATTCTTATAGATGCATGTATGACCATCAAAAGCTATTTCTCTTAACTGAAAGTATATGAGAATTAATTTTTTAAAGGCTTATTTTATTCAGTCTTGGTTATATGATGAAATTATATGCAAACTTCTCAAAAATAACAGTCTGAATAAAATTCCCATCTACCACTAAATATTCAAGTTTTGTTCTCCTTGTTTTTATCATTAATTACAATTTCACAATTTGTAGTTCTCCAGTTACCAGAAAGTCTTTCATTTAGACAGACTTTCTAATTCTAATTTCTAACATAAAAATCAAAAAACCTCCCAGCAATGATGCTATCAAAATCAAACCAAAAACTATTCTTTAAAATGCCTTAAAGAAATACATGACACTAACCAAACAATTGTCAATTCTTAACACTGAAATAACATATAACCCATGTCTTCACCTTGTCAAGGTATACCAAAAAGTCACTTTTTCTGATATGGCAAGTGAACGAATTCCAGAATAACAACATCTTGCCAAGACCTTTACTAAAATTTATATTATGAATCATTGACAATAAATATAATGTTGCAAAAACTTAATTTAAATGATCAAAATTAGAAATAACGCATAAGTTATATGTTTAAGAAACGTATTCAGAAATAGATCTTCTTGACTGATTGCACCTTATATGCAAATTGGGCCAATTTGTAAGATAAATCTGGAATGTACTCAAATAAAGAGTAAGATGACATCTGTCAAAGTCAATTAATCTGTGAAAATACAATTTGAAAGCAGTGATAAGCAGTTAGTTACCCCTGCTGATCCATCACACACTCATTCTCCAACACCCACTGCATCAGATGTCAAATTGATACAAATACATCTAAAAAACCCATAAATTATAGAACTGAGTGGTGTTGGCCAACTGTCAAAGCTATGGGAAATAATCAGAATGAATATAAACTTAAAGAGTAGAAAGCAAAGGTAAAGCACATTTGATTCCCTCACTGATACTCTCTCTACAAACAAGGTGGGCTATTATTTAGTATTGGGCACAGAATGCAAAGAGCCCAGTGTTCTCTGAACTTCTCTTAATCTAGGAGACAGATCCTGGAAGTGGGAGACTGCAACCAGTCATCAGGATTGGGGTTAGCCTAAGCTCCTTCTAGGTTCATCACTGACTGCATCACTGGGACTTGGTGACCAGATTACCTGCAAGACTTCCAAGCACAAGAAGGCGCTGGTTTCACTAAGACAATTAGACTGCTGTTTCTCCGACTCAAAATTTTTCCCATAACAGATTCTGTAACCTACAGATGCTTTACTGCAATATGCTTGCTACTAGATATTAGATGATTTCAGTCTTTCTCCACAAATCTTCAGCTAACATCAAAAGGCTTACAATTCTGCATTAAGAATGGCAATATTTAGATGAAAGCCTCATTTCACTGATATGTGATATGATTATGATTTAATTCTAATCACTTCAAGGACAAGATTTTATCAAGTCTGACCCACTGAAGTCAAAGACAGTCTTTCCATCAACTTGAAAAATGGGAAGCAAAATTACTTAAAAATGCCAAAAAGATACAAAGTACATTTGTAAACTATTAATAACTGTCCCATCAAAGGGATGTATTGGCAAAATTTCTAGAAATGCAGTATCTGTAAGGAAGGACAATTCTGAAATAATGTTTCACAAATTTAATTTTATAATTTATATGCTGCCTTACTCAAATAAAAAAAGAAATGCTATCCAAACACAATTACACTCTTCATACCTTGTATTAGTGGAATACATCCAGCATCAAACAAACAAGAAAATTACAGTATAAATACTGCAGATAGACTTTAGCAGAAGGTAAGCACTAGCACTACAGTAACTGAATTTTATCCATATACCAGTCTTACAGTATTAAGTGCAACTTCATAAGAGTTTACACATGTATGGATTATTTATATGAACCATCTGTATCTTGTCATTTACTGTATGACAAAAAATTTGAAGGGAAAATTTTGAATTTGCATCTCAATAGTAATTATAATGTCTGCTTAAAAAAACCCCAGATCTATCTGGAAAAAAAAAAATTAAAAAAAAAATTGCTACTGCCAAGGCAACAGAATACCAAAATTCATTTGAGTGGAAGGTTTGTGACAAGAAAAAAACAAAGGTGCTTTTATTAATCACAGGTAGTGTTCAGCACAAAAAAGTATTTAAAGCACTGGTGTTTTTAACCAAAACCTACCTTGTTAGGAAAACCTGCTCCATGGAGACCATCCTGATTTTGGACAGAATTTACAAACAGTGCCAATTTTTACATACATCAACTACCAAGTGTTACCAAGACTTCTAACACATCAGTTTGTGGGTTCCCGCCCGCCCCTTAGGAAGAGTTTGTTAAAAAAAGGAAAAAAAAAAATAAAAATTAACACCTAGACAAGAACAGGCTCTACAACAGGTATTTATCATATTATAAAGCACCACAGTGAAACCACCACGAACATTTGCAGAAGCAGGTAAAAGCAGACTAAAGAACATTAACACAGATGATGTTCTGTTGTATTAGACATCTTATTTCATGTCTTGTGACCATTCAGGCAAACAGAAAACTTGAAAAGACATTAATTGCTCGGTGCTTTATAACAGTTCAACAATATGCAGAGATGATATCTAAGCTGGTGTTTTATTTTGGGCTTCTGGAGGTTCTAAGTAAGTCTCTCTCTCTACCTATATGCATACTTTCCAATTTCTCTATAGTTCTCTGAGAGTGCAAGATGCAGTAAGCCACTTTTCAACTGGGAGGAGTTGACTAGTACCTGTCATCCTCCGGAGATGCATGCTGGATATGAATCCTGGGACTAGTAGGTCGTCTCCTCTCTAGGGAGGGGGACCATCTACCCCTGTTTGCCCGTTCAATAAAACAGGAAAAAAACAGGATATTTAGTTTGTGATAAAATTAAATATATGGGATTTGTGACTGGAAAAATACCCCAAAAAGTAATGAAAGTGTGTCATTTAATTATTTTTTCTAGCAGTTTTCTAATCCCCAAGTATACTATTCTTATGGCTGCTTACTGCAGAAACATTACAGCTGAAACAAAGAGAATGTACGCTCAAAGATGCAGAATGTAGACAGATATAAATGTTTTATATAGTGTACCATTAAGTTTTCAAACATTCCAAAATGCTAGACTATCTAAAAGCCTGTCATTTGCATAGGAAGTCATAACCCCAAACTAGAAGAGCTTTTCAAAGACCATATGATGGTCATTTTCTGCTGATTACTGGCTGGTGTTTTGTTAAGCCCATCTCTCCTAGCTCTTTGCACTGAAAAATGTATTCTCAGTAAAAATGCAGGACTATGAATGATAAGAAAAATTCTAAGGCATAAAGTGACCCTTTTCTGGAACACAGTGAGAGAGTAAAGGTAAATTAATTAGCTACAACTAAGCTACACACATTTGTGTACAAGTACTGGGCAATTTTTTACTTTTTTTTATTTAAAAATATATATTGGAAGTGTGTGCAGCCAGCCTCCTCTTCTGTTCATTTCTCTGTACCCCTGCAGTGTATGTCAACAGATTATGTTGTATAATTCAATTTAACAAAAAGGACTTGAATTGTGAATGAAAACTGGTGTCTTATATCATTCTTTTCTTGAAAAAGCTAATTTAATTCAGAATGATATATACTATACTATAGACTGGTGTTGCTTATTTTGTTGGGATGTTATGTGGTTGTAATAGTACAAGTGTATCTATAACAATTTACAAAATCAAAAGACACTGATTAATTTACAAAGAGCAAAATGTTTACATAAACTCTGCACGACTATCTAATATTTCACTTTCTGAGGCATCCTTCCAGTCCATGTAATAAGGAAAAGGGTTTGATTTATGGAACATGCAAATAACAAAGGTTTCAAGGAGATTAGCATCATTTGAACAGTTAGGTAGATCTTTCAGAAGTTTCAAGAGGAAATAGGTTGTTAGTAGTTAGTTTCTTTTTCTCTCCAAAGCAAGAGTTAATGAAAATGTTAATGCATCAGTGCACTCAAAGCCCTTAATATGCTGATATCCACTACAAATATTAAACAGCATTTGATAGAATTAACTAGGTCATGCAGTATGAACTTTGAGAGCATGCTCTCTTACACTGAATGTTGAATGACTATGAGCCACAGTACAACGCAGACAAACATGCAATAACTTATTCCTTTACATGGTAGAAAAGAACTGGAAACACAATACGTTGCATAGCTAATGCAAACAGTTATTTTACCATAAATTATTTTAAATGTAGATGGTGATATTCAACATAGCTGTTAAAGGCATGCAATATAAACACCTAATACTTCAGACTTATTAAAAAAACCTTAGAAAATTCAAAATGAAATCAGGACAGGTCTTAATTGGATCAGGTGACAGCTCCAACTTCTCTGTTATCTATTTACCAGTAGATAACAGGTAACTGTTCAGCTTTGTACCTTGTTTAGGTGGTAGTGACCAGCTGATAGCAAATACCGTGAAGATCTTTGAAATGTTTTGATTCGTATTGCAGCGAAGCGCATCAGAACAAATCTAACACAGCTGCTGGGCTGCAGTTTGCAGATATGCTGACCCTGTTGTACACGGAACTAATTCATGGGGTGTGCTCCTCGGTTTTATTTGCTCAGATCTCCGCTAACTAACCTCTCAGGACCAAAGTGTACAAGCAGTACCAATCTGTACAATTGCTCTTGTGCTAACTGCTAACATACGCAACAATTGCTTGCAACATAAGAAACTTAGAAGGTAAATAAAACCAATGTATAGGTAAAATAACACTATGTATTATTAAGTAGCTATCACTGGTTGCAATCTTAAATTAATCTGGGGAAGATGCTATTATGATGAGAACCCACTGGTGAATCAGGTCAGATACTGCATTTAAATCTCATGCCTACGTGCTTTCCTGACTGGAGGCTGGGATTTGCAAACTCCCAAAATTCTCCATTCTAAAGGACTGGTACCCAATTTACAAGGAAAAAAAGCAGAAATTTGAGACACAATGAAAAGGACAATAAAATCATCATAATAAAGGAAGTGGCAGCAGTAAAAACATTTTCAATGGCATTAGAGGATATTTATGACTATATTATAAACTAACATATGACTCATAGATCATCACAGGAACTTCAACAACACAATCATTTTGAAAAAAAAATAAAAATCAACAGCTTGGAATAATTAGGGGGGGGAAAGAGAGAGAGAAAAAAAAAGGCAGGTATGGTGCAACTGTATAGATGTATTAGTAGGGGCTGGATATTTTTGAATACCCTAATGTATACTGTGCCAAACAGAAATACATGAAGGGTTAAGTTCTGTACCAAACCATTCCATTTACCAAAAAACTTTGGCAGGCCTGTGTCAGGGCAAGATAGTTTGCCAGTCAAGTTATACGGACTTTCCTTGCTCAAAGGACAAAGCTTATAGCAGGAGAAAAGGAATGTCTTTGTTGTTGTTGTTTTGTTTATGTTTTAATGCAATTAACAAGATTTATATATCCCAAATTCACATATACTGCTGACAGTATTTTTCTGCTGGTATATGCGGGTCAACAAAATGACTTCTACTGGCAAAGCAGCATCTTAAAAATCAGTGACTACTCTGACCATTCCAAATGATATAAATGATGTTGTATAGAGTTTAAGGATTAAAACCATTTCCAACAAATCATTGACACAGGGAAATAGGGCTCTACTGTCCATCAGTTACATACAGCCAATACCATTTTGTTTAAAAAAGCTCAAATGGACCATTTTAACTTGATCTCAAATACAATCTAATTCATACCCTCTGAGCAAAAGGTTGGGGGGAATAAGTAGAAATAATTTTCCATAGGTGAGTATACTCTTAATTTTGTTGAAGAAAATATAGGATGCCACATTTACAAGTCTATCTTTTTTATTTGAGGACTAAAAGTCTAAACTTCTAAATAAAATCTACAGTTCCATTTGTGGGAGGGGAGGAGAGGAAACACCATGAAAGCCACTAACAATGCCTTCAACACAGGTCCCTCAAATATAATGATAATAAAGTGGTCCTGTATAGATTGGACTTCAGAAAACCATATAGTGTTTCTCTTTGCTACAAGCAGGCCCAACTCTACACCTGACAGATGTTTGTCTAATCTCTTCTTAGGCAGTCTCCAGTAATGAAGTCAAGACATTTTCCATATTGTCTATTACAATGTTGCATTATACTTGCTTTCAAAAAAGCTTTCCTACGGTTTAAGATGAACCTATCTTACTCTGTGTTAAGTCCCTTAGTCTCATCTTCTCCAGCAAGGAAACAAAATGTTTTCCACATTCTTAATTCTGTGTTCTTCAAACTCTCCTCTATCATTGCATGCAACTGATCACTAAGTTCACATTAAAGTTACATTCAACAGTGGGGAACTGAATCTTCTAAAATTAGCTTCCTCCAAACCAAAATGATTTATTTGGCGGGGTTTATACATAAAATATAACATCTTCCTTCAAAAACTGGGCTGTAGTGGAAAACCATCATCTGTGTCAGAAGAAAAGAAACTAGTATGTCCTAAATCCTCTGTCAGAGCCACACAGATCTTATTATTTTCAACAAAACCATCATGGAAAATTTTAATGTGAATTTCCTAAAAAAGAGCTTTACTACACACCCATGAAGGATCCCAAGTCAAAAGCACCTATTTAGGACTTCTAAAAGCAAAGAAGTAAAAGTTTCATAGCGATGGACAATTTTACTGCATCAGACCCACAGATGATTTGGCAAAACCACGTGTTAAGTAGCAGTAGAGGCCATTAACACAGACTAAACACTCTTCTTTATGAAGAGCTCATGAAAAATGCTGCAGGTTCTGTGCAGTGCCTATTGGGCAGAAATTGCTGGACATGAATTATAAAGACATCATAGAACTAGTTAACATCAGTGACAAGTGTAGTTTTGAATATAATATTTTAACTAGATAGTTTACAATTGCCAGACTTATTAATTAATACTAATTAATTACACAGTTATAAATATGATGCTACAATATATTTTTTTAAAAAATCTAGAATTATATCCAGTATTTCATTCTGAGTGGCCTTATTTCTGACATAGGGTGGGGTTTTTTTCATTTTTTTAATAACTATGTATATATTATCTACAACATCTTGAGATCAGTCTTAAGAAGGGATGAACTAGTGCAGATCCATCTGAGATAGATACTTCAGCAGAACATTAGTCACTTCTCTGCAACAAGGGCACAACTTGAAAAGAGCAAAGTTCCAATCAAGGAGCAATGGGAAATGAGGAGGAGGAGGGAAAAAAAGAGAAATTTCACCAAAAAACTTATGAGAAACCTTATCTCAAAGAGAAAAATATGTTCTTATTGCCTTTCTTCACAGGTCCTCTGCCACAATAATGAAAATGATGCAACTGTTATAACCACCACAATGCGGTTTGACTGACAAAGCAACTTTGCATTATTAACTGCCACACTAGTTAAATATGTATTGCACAGATGAAATTGTAATTCCACCTTATTCCCACTCAATGGGAGCCTATTATTGCCTTTAGTGAAGCTAAGATTTCACTCTCAAATTATATAGTTCTGAGGCAAAAACACAGGTGGTGATGAATGTTCCACAAGGGAATTTATCCCATTTGTCAAACACACCAGTAGTATTTGGTTCACCTGAGATTTTGAACCAAGCGACTGTAATATTAAAAATTCAGAAAGCATCCATAAAATGCCTGCACAATGTATGTGACACAACGATATTTCATTTAAATTGCAAACATGTCTTAAGAAGACTTATGTGAGCCTTAATATAACGTCACAGAGTGAAAAAAACCTTAATGCAGTGATTTGCCTTGTAATTGCAAAAGCAGATGCAGCAGATTAGATTAAGAAAGCAATGAAGTTTGGCTGTTTTGTAGAAAATACATCACTACACAAACTACAGTTCTAGTTTGAAATATGAGAGTTTTGTCATAATTTATAAATTATGTCACCGCCTTATTAGCAGTCCACAGAACAGGCAAGAAACAGACGTAATACTTTTTAGCAAATGATGATGAAGATTAACACTGCAATGCTATTATCAGCATACTGAGGACTTTTGTAAACAATGACATCAGCTTGAACTAAAACAAGCAAAGAAGCCAGAAGCAGTTATAAACGCCAACACGCAATTTACATGACATACATGAATATAGGAGCAAAAATGTCTACAGATACCAAAGCAGACATGAATGTACAAGAATGTAGAGTACTCATATGAAGAAAAACAAAACTGATAAAGATCACCAGCACAGATGACAAGAAATTCAGAAGTTTTTATTTTATACCTTTCTCGTTCTGGTGAATGCAAACTAGTATCTGGTCTCAAGCAGTTGGTACTAGCACTCCTAGCCCTGTCAAGGGAGGGCTGTAGTTCACTAGTGCCAGTGCATTGCATCCAATGGTAGAAGAGAAAGAAAAAGAAAACAAAGAAAGGAATACAATGTTAGATATTAACTCATAAAATAATGCTCTCTTTACAGAAAATGTAGAATCACAATGATTTAATTAAGGAAAACGTAAAAGAGCTGACTGGATGACAGTGCCAAGATTTGTTTAGAAAATAAAAGCAAACAAAAGACTGCTAGATTTTTTTTGCTAAGATCCTTGAAATGTTTAAAACTGAATGAGACAAAACAACATCCACTTGTAACAAAGTGGAATGAGAAATATCAAACAATAGATTTAAATCCTTATTAACAGCAGTAAATCTTAAGCCAACATAAAAGGATGTGATACACTATATAATACGTGAAATCACTTCACAATGAAGCTCATTTATTTTGCAATTCCATATTAGCTGCCAAACAGGAGGGGGGATTAATCCTCAGTTTCTTACCTAACCAGTAGATCATCTCCAAATTTCGGTATTCGTGAATTAAGGCAATCACGAAGGAGTGAAATATCCTGTCTAAGCATGGATTTGGTCTTAGCACATGCAGGAAGAGTTGAGCTTTGTAAATTAAAATAATTTAAACAAAATGAAAATAAATTTGACATGTAACCAAAATATTATACTTAAACAAAAGAATGTAACAAAAACATGCAACATATAATTTTAACAGTGAAGACAACTCTAGATAATACAAAGTGGTTTGGTTTGGGGTTTTTTGTTATGTAGGGGTTAATTTAAACATTATATGAAGTAATTTTAGGATTATATTCCTTATCTCTCAGTTATAAAAAGTGCATGAAACTTTTTTTTTTTTTCCCCATAAAACAAGGCAAGACTACTTATTTTTCTAAAAAGGAACTAACTACTTAAAGGGGACTCTCAACACTTCTTACCTGTATAGGTTCCAATGAGTACCATTTTCTAGTAAAGGCATCTTAGGTGGTAATGTTTTATAGTGCCTAACAGAACTTCTTGAATGTGATGGAACAGAAAAGAAAAGAGAACAACACAAAAACATGCCAGAAATAAAAAGACAGGTAAAGGTAAGCCAAGACCGACCAGAATGTAAAATAAATGCATAATATTCTGCTACATTCAATAGCTGCATGAGTAGATTTCTCAATATATGTTTTTCTCAACAACTGTGACAGCTATCTGGGGGATAAATTTTTTTATTTACACTGTTGTTAATACTCATGATAATACTAGTACAGCTCAATTTTTTTCCCTGTAATAAAAGTAATCTAAATTCCATTTAAAGATATTTTTAAATAAAATATACAAGCTGTTGTAAAGGATTAGGTTGATATTAAACTTGCTCTTTATTTCTCTTAGTGATGCCTTACTTAGACTTGCTAGACTTTAACCTCTTCAGTAGCTAAGCATGAAAAGCTTGCTAAAACAGTGATACATAGTATCACAACCGAATTATAGATGTATTAGCATCTGGCATTTTTGAATGTGGAAGTCTTTTGGAAGCAGTGTATCAGCTTCAAAATCTAACAGTAATTAAATGCTATTAAGAATAAGCTAATTAAAAAAACCTAGATCTACTGCATCAGCCAGCACAGCAGTACCCTGAGATGTTACATGACAACTGTCTAACATCACTTACAGTACATAAGATTTTAGAACAGGAAATGTTTGCTTTATCATCCAGCTCTACCCAATGAACAAGGCAGAAATTTAAAGGCAGACAGTGGCCAAATCACGGCTATTGAATGGTTAAGGGTTAATAACCAAGTTCTAACAATCTTCCATATACACCAGGACACAGCTCCAGTGCTACTAGGACCAGCAGCCTTAGGGATTTTGCAGCTTCAAGAACAGTCTGTCCTAACAGGACATACTGATTCCTGTTAAGGCTTGGACCTAGGCACAGCAGATCAACCCGGCTGTGCCACAGACAACAGATGAAACAACTCTCTGCCTGGAAGTCCTGGTGTTTGTAAAACCCTGAAGGATTTAACAGAGGAGCTTTGACCCTTTGTGTACAGGTTTAGCGGTCATCACTGCTGACATCTCTACCAGAGCCAACCGCGACATTGTAAAGTTGGAATAAAGGTATGGTTGTCCATCAGGTCAATCCTGGCATACTAGTAGTTATTACCAAAGTGGATGTGACCTAAGACATGGAATGTGAAAACTCATGGTCTGCGGCACAGGTACACATGTCCTTCCACTGTTTCAGCTATTTGTCAATAATTACATACAGATGGACAGGATGGACAGCTAGGACTAGTTATTCTAAACTGGTGTATTAAACTAACCATGTATCTTAACTTTGTAACTTGGAATATCTCATATTAATATTTCTTACATTTAACATGAAACTCTTAACATTTCTTTCCTATTTTAAGCTGAAGCTGTCTCAACAATCAATTAAAACATTATTCAGCAAGCTGTCTAGAAAACAAGGATAAAGCCTTAAAATGTTTCTAACATGAATAAAGCCAGGCAATGAGAAAGGACAAAAGATGGCAACCAATACGCACATCAAATTTTTGTTGAAAGGGTTTTTAAGACTATTCAGCTCAGGACGGATACTAGCAATTTTCTGGGTATTACTCAAACTTGGATTAGGCTGCATAAGCCTCAGAGTTAAATTTAAAAATCAATCTATTGTCTTCTATTGCCTTATATTCACCTTCAATACATTGTTAAAAGTAGGATTCTGTTTTATAGTGTACCATTACTATTACCTTAAAGAGGTAAATTTGTTACTTTACTTGATCATAAAAAACCAACAGCAATAATTAGAATAAGAAAAAGGCAAGAAAGGGCTGTACTCTCTGAATTCAGTATAGCTCTTACCTAATGCTATTGCTGCCCATGCACAATTTTTAGCTGGTTAACTGGCCAGATTGGTTAGCAGATTTGTAAAACTACTGAAAATCTATAGTGACTGGGTGAAGTGCATCAAAAGTTCATAATACAATATTTACTTTGTGAATTAAGTGAGAATTTAAGCATTGTCATTGAAGAATTGTAATGAAAATTATAATCTTTAAGAGGGAAAGGAAAAATCATGGAGCTGGAGGCAAGTAGGGGGGGTGACGCTATAGAAGATGCAGCAGAAAGAGCAAGGCCATAGGAAGGAGGCAGGAAAAATTGTTATATGACAATAAATGGACATAAAATAACAGAGAATGAAATAAACGATTAACCGTTAAAACCTAAAATGTTGTGGTAAAAGCTTTTTTAGCTAAAGTATGAGAATGAAAGTCCTTCTACTGATAATAAAAACTTACATTTTAATTTAACAGCTTCACTGATGCACAGATTTTTTGGAAAGTTTTCATATTTATTATTTTACCTTTATACTACTGTGCCATGTAACAGAACCCTTTCACAGCATCTTCCACGCTGTTTCAAATTTGATGAAGAGAATTAAAGCAAATCAAGGCATATTAAAAACCCCACTACTCTGTGGGGAAAATCCTACACCAAGTAAATGAATAAGTACATTAGACAACATGGTTTTAAAAGTTTGATGGTTTTAAACATATAGCACTGAAGTAAAAGTCTTAGAAACACTCAGATCCCAAACAGAAAAATGGTTAAGTACTTGGTTGAAGTAATTGAATGGTTAACTACTTCAACCTACATTTTTACTGATTCTAAATGGAAGTTTTTCTACATAATCTTACATGTATTTTTAACAAGGTTAACAGACACAGTGAAAAAGAAAAGGGAGGGGGGGCAGAATTAAATTTGTTGTTAGATAAAGATATTTCAGTCCCATTTAGTTTCACAAAATTGGGAAGACTTGAGACAGGGAGCTCCAAGCTTTGGAACGAGAGATTAATGAGATTAAAGATGAGCCCAAACTACAAAGTTTACGCCTGGATCTAATTTATAGCACAATTTGTAGACACAAAAACAAGTAATATGAGACCCCTCAAATCTGGGGTTCCCAGAGAGCCCTCGTTAATCACTGGTCTTTCCTCTAAAAGTGACCAAAATCAGCATCAGATTAGGTTTCACAACAACTAAAGACTGTTGGCTTTTGTGTGGCTGTGACATAAACATAAAAATGCAAATAAAAGAAAACATAAAAACAACTAAAAAGGAATGTTTGAAATTATAACAACACCGTCATGCATTGGGAGATCAGGACTTCTGTGACTAGACAGAAAATCTACCACAAAATACACAGAATTTCTTCAACTGCTTTAATCCTTACTACTGAAGTTCACAAACATATATACACATCTCAATCTGAATTAAAATGAACAAAGGAGAACAACTGACTGTTCAACTTCAGAATGTGAAGTTCTTTACTTACTGGGACTAAATACCGCTATGGAAAAAAGTCGGGCACACAAAGTATAGACAACTAACCAGACGTGTTCATGATTACCAAATTCCTGTATTTACCTGATGGTATGTAGGCACTCTGCACTTCTTCCTCGTTTTGCTCTGGGCAGCATAAGAAGCTCACTGCACGGACAGGATGGGTGGTGAGTGAAACAGATATAATTATGAAGCATTAGATGACATGGGTTATGCCAATGATACGCAAATGAAAACATAAAAAGAAACAAGAAGCTTCCACCCAGATAGATAGTCTGATAATGTTCAAACCCAGACTGCACTTCTCACAGAATATAAGCCAAAAAATGCCCGTGATAACTACATTTTCAAGAAATTCCTTTTAGTGTGGCACCTAATTTTGTGGGATTTCTCCTTTTAAAATTTAGAAGTATTGTTTCAGAGCTCTTCATGACAAAAGGAATCCATAAACCAGCTACATTTCTCTAATATCCTCCTTTCTCATTAATTAATTGATGAAATACTTTCAAAAAAAAAATTATGCTTGTTTGTTGGTAGGTTTTTTTTCTTCCTAAGCCACATATACATGAAAAAGCAGGGAGGGTTTGCTACTCATTACTGCAGATCAGTTTATGGGAAGAGTAACCAGTCACCCTTTTGGGAAAAACAAAAATATACATTCTTTGGAAATATTATGTTTGGCCAAATATAAATTCTTACTCATAGATCTTGACAGTATTTCGTAATGCAATCCTAAAGAAACAAAATATTGCTAATCAGCCATCAGACTTTTTGTTTCTTATTGTTTCCAATTGAGAAAATCAGCCATCTATTCTATTTTTCATTTACTGTAACCGAACACATGCTACAGCCAGCAAGATGGTAAAATTAATACATATTTATGCTTATGGTAAATGTGACTATGATATGAAATATCCTTTGAATTAATCTTGAAGTTTTATGCACTTCAATACAATCAGAAAGACCAAGCTCCAAACCTCCTAATTATTGTAAATATGAAATTAAAGCTAAACTTCATGGAAACATGTTCTTTTAAAAGAAGCAGGGAATCATATGAAGTACTATGGTGACAAAGAGAGAAAAGATTACAAAATAGATAAAGCAGCAGTTGTTCAACGTGTTTTGTGCTTCATGACATTATAAAAGGACCCATTTAATTTATGCAGTATAGGTAATATTTATCTAAAATTCTAAACTGGGCAGCTTGAAATAATGGCTTGTGAGTCACGTGTGAGATTTAACTTTGCATCTGGAACCACTAGCCTGATGTTGATGCAACAAAATGTATTAAATTTTTGGATTTTTTAAAGCAAAATTTCCATTCATAAGCTCAGAAGACTGACAGAATTTATATGCAAGCTTCCAAATTACAAATAAACATGCATTTTAGGAAAAAAGTTACCATTTTAAGAATTGCGAAGTAGATGCACAGTCCACATTAAATCATAGGATACCTCGTTAATATTTACTCTACCTTTGCTAAGCCAAACAGTGTGTATTGTAATTGGCCCATGGCAAACAATAATATAAAATTAATCCAGAAAAGGGATATAAAATAGAAAATCCACCATGAAATCTTCAAGTTAAGAAAACAAAGCAAAAGATCCATCACAGTAGATTACCGATAATATAAGAAGATATTCATAGTTCTATAATAAATTAAGTCTAGTTTGGAGACGTTTGAAATAAAGATTATTGTTTTAAAACAAGTGTTTTCTAATGTGAGTATTTTAATACTCACATTTACAGATTTTATTTAGGAAAAAAATACTAAAAAAAATTTAAAAGGCTATGCCCTTGAAAATTGGATTATGACCCTAAATTCAGAGCAAAGTATAGCTAGATTTCTTAATAAAAAGCTTTTCCTAACAGATTTATATATACACACACACATACAGGTGTGTATATATGTATATAAATATACATAAAAAAGATAAAGTGGACAAATCTGTTCCACTGGAAATTTATCACACCAGATACTTTAGTAAGAGGCTATAATAACTATTTTTACAAAAATCTATTCAGAATACTCAATATTCCTTTGGAACCAATAACAGATCATTGAGCAAATGATCAAAAGTAATCAGCAACTGTAATTTCTGACATGTAACTATCAGGTAATTACTCACTTTTCAAGCTAAGTTTAGGTTAGGTATCTACATGAATGTACTTGTTTAGATGAAGGGTTCAGTAAATGAACAAAACATAATACTTATACTACTATTAATACTAATACATAAGATTTTTTTGAAATCCTTGGATGTGACAGAGAATCTTCCTCAACAAAGCTGGTTTTGATGTTCCCTATGATGCTGCTCTTATGTACTGAAAGACAGTGAAACCTGCAAGAGTTGTTAAATAGTCTCCACAATTGAAGAAATCTGGGGGAAAGATGAAAAGGAAAACAGGAAAAGAGACCACTTCAGACAAGATTATTACTCAAGGAGAGTAAGTACATGGACCCACATCTTTAAATTGTGCAAATAAGCCACGTGCATCCTTCATGTCCGATCTTTAAACTTCTGAAAAGCTTCTTCTGAACATGGAAAAGGAGTGAAGATCTTGTCTTACTCCTCTGAACAAATCCAGCAGCCCATTGCTGCTGTGGCTCTGGTCTGATGGCTCATCTCCAAGAAAGCCTCAATGCAAGCCCTGCTCTCCAAGCATAATCCACGCTTGTATTATCATTTATGTCATGGTTTGAGGCTTTACTGGAAGAACATTTTCTAGGCAGTTAACTGTCTATATTTATTTCTACTGACAAAAGCTACTTTTTAATGTCTCTTCCTTTTCAGATGTGCTGAATAAGAAATCTGTTCAACAAATGTCTTCAGGAATCTTTTGAATATCTCACTACTTATAATAAATAATAACATGAAACATTTGCAACAAGTGGAAATTACAACAATAGACCTTAGACAATTCTGTGCATACTTCTTGCCTATAAAGTTGATTTTTAAAATGTTCCAAATAACTCATTCATTCCCATCTGTATGTTATCATATTAAAAAAAGCAAAACAGGCAAGATCATATACAAAATTGTACTAGTTTAACTGCAAAAGCCATCTGTTATTCTATTTCTATGTTGCTTCAAAACTAGACAAAGAGTTCCAGAGATTTTTATGCTTTGTTCTTTACATGTTTTCACATCACTATGAAATCTATGTTCTGTATTGAATTTACTGGATCACTTGGAAAGGTTCTCTCATCCTTCCTCATAAAATAGTAACTTACTGCAAAACCAAAAAAAATATCCAAAGACATTACCTAAGACAATTGATCTTATATGAATGGTAAAAGTTTGCCACTATAGTTTAGCTATATGATTTTTTTTTTAAGTAAACAAACAACTCACAAACATCAATAATCTGTGTAACTGTCATCAATGTTTTCCAAATATTGAACTGAAATACCTTTTTCAACCTTTTTCAGCTATAAATTGAAGATAAATTCTCATTTTCTTCCATTTTATTAGAATATATTCCTAGATACCTGAAAACAATGCCTACTGGGAGAGATCAAGCATTCTCTGGGGAGTGTAACCACTGCATGTATTCCAGGGAGAGGTATGTACATGTCACACATCTAAGATTGGAGATTTTTGCTAATTACAAGCACCACAACTATCCTTGCTATGCTTGAGTACTGTACCAAGTTCACCAGCATGTTACATAAGATACTGTGAGACTGCATATATAAATGTCCAAAAAATCTATAAGCACAGGAATGCAAATCATAGCATACGCGACTCCCAACTAGTAGGAATGCATGCCTGGTATTTTGCTGGCTACCGAAACAGATAAAGTCTGAGTTACAAGAATAGCTTGGGCATACATGTAGATTTATGGTTTTCTGGCAAAAATCTCTGGGCTTCATTCACACGATAAACAGCAGAATACTCCAGGACAAGCACCCAAGAACTGTTAGTCTAGATACCTGCTATAACTGGCAAACCAGTGCACAGTTTTACCAAAAAAGAGGTATAGATAATTTAACCATGACACTAGATTCATCAGTTAGGATGATTTCTCTCTCTTCTCCATTACTATCAGTCATGTTTCTACTGAACACTTGAACATTAGGCAAATTGACAAAGACATTTCTAAACTTTTTTCCAAGTTCAGGCTGACAATGTACCTTTCTTGATCAGACAAATACTGACTATCCATGTCTCTGGATCTGTAATCAACTGGAGTTCTGGAGGCATCATGGTGTCTAGTTGGAGAACGTGATCTTCTCATTTGATGAATTTCATCTAAACTCCTGAAAGGCAGAAATACGTTTGATAATCTTGTTTTCTCATAAATAACACAGCTTAAAGGATTACAGTACAAGTTGGTTGAAAGGAGTTTTTAATCATTACATTGTTAACATACGACTTCTAAAAAAATATTGGATCCTGAGATTAAAAAACCCCCAACCTGTAAGTAATAGAAAGCAGCTATTTCTACCATATTTAGAAGTACACATTTGTTTCTGTGTACACTGATTGTTTCAGTAATGGCATTTTCAAAGCCTGTACTTAAAGAATAACTGAGATAACACAAGAACTGATAATGCCTCACACGAAATTAAGTTTTACGCATTTCTAGATGCATAGCCGGATTTCTAAAGGGCTGATTTTGGGCCATCAGCTTTTTGCAGGTATCACCAAATATTCTTTAAGAAATTCTGGGATAGGATATGGGAACTTGCAGCAGATTTTATCAATCTATCTCAAACTAAGTGTACAAAAGGGGTATGAGTTTGTACAAATGCAGGTAAGCTCTGACCTCCGTGACAGTAATTTAAAGCTCTCTTCACATGGAATAGAACAAGAAAAGAAACTACTACTTGAAGGAATATTCTTCCTTTAGTTTTATAACTGCCATTGGAACAAGAGGCATTAGTTTTTCAAAGTATAAAAAGGATAGGCGGAATTGACTATGAAATATTTCATTTGTGCATTGTGCTTGTAGATAGAAAGATACAACAAGAGGATATATAATTGTTTGCAAAAGCAGAACGAGGAGCTGTCATTCTCTCTACCATTAAAAAAATCAGTGCCACAGTCTGTTTTACATACAGCCATACTCTTCTATCTGTTAAGGATGTATTACTGAGAAATGCAACAGCAAGTGATTTGGTGGGTAGTGAAATAGCTTCATCTGTAAGAACTAATGTAACAGAGGGGGATGCATGCAGGGACTTAAGAAGCACACAAAATTTCAATGTGCAAAAACAGTATATATGGCATGGAGGATGGAAAGGAAGAAGTAAGATCATCAGGATTCTCAACTGGGAGGAGAAGCTGGTTTTCCAGAATGTATCATCATTTTGAAACATCACAGATGTCTGGTATTAAATGACCAGTGATGGAACTCACAAAAACCCCAGAAATGATGGATAAGGACACTACCGTAACACAGAATTTTATACACAAAATTCAGCTAAGAAGGGTAGATTCTCAGTAAACTACCACAGCTAGTGGGCAATAATATTGTTAGTGCAACACTTCAAGCTCTTGCTGTAATTCAAGATCAGTTTCCTAGAAATTAGAGGAAAGAAAAACTGGTAAAAACTGGATGATTTTTAGGGTTCCATGAGAGGTTGCAAGAGAGGTTTATTGCCCTGCACAATAAAACAAGCAAAATCGAGTGGGTCGCTTTTTGTGCTTAAACAGTCTGTATACCACTATTCAAAAAAAAGCTCAAAAAGGATTCTCCTATGAACCCGTTGTCTATTAAAAGCAGTAAATGCAGAAGATAGAGGTTTATAAATCACTATCTGATTCTGCAAAGTATTTTTTACTTCTTCCATTAAAAATGTCACATTATAAATACAATTGATAATTTCAGCTTGCTGCTACTTCAGATTGAACTGTTAGTTCAATTCATAGCTATTATACAATTAGTACATGCCACTATTTATTATCCTACAAATATGCTTAAGTGGCTTCACACAAGATTCAGCCACTGACTGACTGAAAAAACATTTCCAAACCTACATATTAGTTATGGTACACAGATAATGAATCACAGAGAAAATATCAGTAAAAGAGGCAAGTCTTACAAAGTTATGATTCATCCCATGAGTGCTCTTGAATGATTAATAAATGTATACATCAAGTTCAAATACTACACTATTAAATTCAGATAGAAAAAAAGTTTTAAAATTGTAAAAAATTGCTGAACAAGAAAAAAGTAAATAATGAGAGATTATACAAACTTGAAACCACCAAGTGTTTCACTGACTTGTGATGCCTACCTCTGTAATGGCACATTTGGTAAACGTGAACGGGTCCTGCCCTGATCGTCGCCACGGTGAGGAGATACAGATCGTGAACGATGATGTGTTGTTCTTTGCTGTTCTGGCACAGTTAGCGTCGTAGATTTACTTTCTCTAGTGCTAGATCTATAACCTACTGGCAAGAGGGCAACAAAACGAAATTAGAGAATAAAAGTCTGGCTTTGGAAAGAATTCAGATGGTTAGTCCTTCCAGGAACACACATCTAAATGCTTACACACCTTTCAAGTCGTCATTCAATTTTTGTACATCCCGATGTATCATGCAGCCAGGATAAATTACTAGCATTACCTTTAAATGTCTACATGTACAGAGACAGAGAAACTGAGGAGATTTTCATTATGTACTGGAAGATGTGGAGGAGAGGACTGAATTAGTTTTCTGACGTGGGGAAGAGAACCCATAGTAACTTGTATTTCAAAATTGTCAAACAGTAGCAAATATTTGAAAGGAATCCAAGCAATGTAGGTTTACCTCATCCAACAAATGGAGAAGGGGTGCTTGTGTACAACAGCGCAGACTCATCTGGGTCATATATAAAGCATCCTTCTGACTCTTATTTCAGTTAAATACAAAGATGTTCTACTGAACTTGGCCAAAGCCACCTACTTTCAAAAATTACAAGCATTTAGAGTCTATTGTATAGAATATTGGGTATTGTATACTCTGTAGAACATTTTTTCCAAATACTATGAATGAGCTGCCAAGTTTCTCATAGTTCATTTTTACATAGGATTAAAAAAAAATCAGCAGTACATTTTAAAGCATTGATATTTCTATGCTTTCGTCCATGTAGCACACTGTTTGCCTTGTTAAACACTTTGAACCCCATTCTAAAACAGACAACGAAGCTCAGTGAGATGAACAGCTTTCAAAAGGTGCCTGCTATCTTTCCAAAAGAGCCTAAGGAGATTTGCTTAGAATTTAGTTGCTCACTTCTAGACATTTCAATTAGATTACAAGAATGCCTTGATAGAAAATCCCTCGATGACAGAAAGGGTCATCCCTTAAGTCATCCCTTAGTGACTTCACAAATTATTGTTTAATTCCAAACTAATAATTGTACTGCTTCTCTGAACTTGTCTAGCATTAAGTTCCTGTAATGTGTTATTTTGTTCAGCTAAAAAACCGGCCTATATCAGAAATCTTCTTTCCATGCAGGAAAAGACTATAATTTAGTCACTCATTTGTCAATTGGATAAATTAAGTACGTTGCACTTTTTAAGGATCTTGTTATATAGCTTCAAGTTTGGGGCTTTTTTTTCATATTTTGTATAATTAGTATAATCCTTGTAGTTCTCTGATCTTCTACCAAGTTATTATAGCCCATATACAGAGTCTGTATTAGGCTTGGTCATGTTTTCAATGACACTCAATAACCTGTTTAGCTGCAAGTCTGAACCCTGATCACAAACAAGGAAGCATTCATGCTTTTTTTCCCAAATTGTGCATCAGTTTACAAACATATTCTAAAACGGACACGTAACTTATCTGAATGCATTACCTCACTATTAGACCTGGAGAAAACACTTTGTTAAAAGTGATAAGTAACCCTAAAATAAGAATATCTTCCACCATAGAACAGATTCATCTTAGTAACATGACACTGAGAACAGGGACCTACACTAGATGATGCATTTTATCATCCAAGGAACTCTAAGACTCTTTTCCCTCATTATACAGTTTATAATATCACAGCCTCCAGAACTGTGTCCACCTTTTATACAGTATTGAACAAATTAGCATAAGTTATCCAAAGATAACAGTAGAGCACCTACGTGCTGTAGCATCCTACAGTAGCTTTTGCGTTAACATCAGCTTTACAGCAACTTCAGTAAATAAAAAAAGATTGGCTTCAATAAGTTCTTGTTGCCTTTAATGTATTTACCACTACCAATATGATAGGGAAGTCAGATAGGAAGGAGACAGTGTTGACAAAAACATGATTAGACAGTTTCGGTACAGACTTTCTGGTTACTGTCAGCTGGAAAACATATGCAGAAAGACCTTTGTAAGTTCTGCTATCATTTTGTCCAACTTTTGTGTCTTCTACTTCATAGTATAGTGGCTGGTGTGAGAATATGGGAAACCTCTTTTCTTCCATTTCCTGAAGCAGAGGGGTGGGATGAGGTTAATAGATCAAAGAAACAAGAAGCACTATGAGTATTGATAGATCTTAGAGGGTAGGATAGGGCCAAAAGAAAAGCACTCGTAGTAAGAACATATCACGTAGCTCAACTATAGGCTTGCCAAGCTGGTGAAGAAGGCTTTAAACTAAAGTTGCCGGGGGAGGGAAACATCAATCCATTCCACTCCTACCAGTTTGATGTCAGTGCCAGCAATAGATGCCCAGAGCCAGGAAAAGGATCACAGGTCAGCAGAAGAAGATCTGAAGTGCAGCGCAAAGGAATTCCAGCCGCTCCAGCCAGTAAGTCAGCTTCATCAGGTGCCCAACCTAAATGCCTCTATGCAAATGCATGCAGCATGGGGAATAAACAAGAGGCGTTGGAGACGTGCACATCATGCAGACATGGTGAAACGGCTCCTATGACTGGAGTGTTGGAATAGAAGGATACAATCTCTTTAGGAAGGACAGGCAGGGGAGAAGAGGAAGGGGTGTCACCCTTCACTTTAATGACAGGCTGGAGTGCATGGAGCTCCACCTGGGAGACAGATGAGGAGACGACTGAGAGCTTATGGGCCAGAATTAAAGGGAGAGCAGGAACAGGTAACACTGCGCTACAGGCTACCTGACCAGGAAGACCAGGTGGATGAGGCCCTCTATAGACAGATAGGAACAGCCTCATGTTCACAAGCCCTGGTCCTTGTGGGGGACTTCAAACACCTCAATATCTGTTGGAGGGACAACACAGCAGGGCACAAGCAATCCAGGAGGTTCCTGGAACGCACTGATGATAACTTCCTCCTCCAAGTGATAAAGGAGCCAATGAGGAGAGGTGCCATGCTGGAGCTTGTTCTCACCAACAAGAGGTGGTGAGGAATGTGAAGCTCAAGGGTAGCCTTGGTGGCTGCAGTGATCACGAAATGGTGGAGTTCAAGATCCTGAATGTAGCAAGGAGGGTGCATAGTAAGCTCACTACCCTGGATTTCAGGAAAGCAGACTTTGGCCTCTTCAGGGATCTGCTTGGTAGAGTACCATGGAACAAAGCCCTGGAGGAAAGAAGGGCCCAAGAGAGCTGGCTAGTATTCAAGGGTCACCTCCTCCAAGCTCAGGAGGGATGCATCCCAACAATGAGGAAGTCAGGCAAAAATGTCCGGAGGCATATATGGATGAACAAGGAGCTCCTGGACAAACTCAGAAAAAAAAAAAAAAAAAAAGGAAGCCTACAGAGGGTGGAAGCAAGGGCAAGTAGCCTGGGAGGAATACAGAGAAATTGTCCAAGCAGACAGGGATCAGGTTAGAGAAGCTAAAGCCCTGAGAGAATGAAATATGGCCAGGGGCATCAAGGGCAACAAGAAAAGCTTCTATAGGTACGACAGTGATAAAAGGAAGACTAGGGAAAACGTGGGCCATCTCCAGAAGGAAACGGGAGACCTAGTTACCCGGGATATGGAAAAGGCTGAGGTACTCAATGACTTTTTTGCCTCAGTCTTCACCAGCAAGGGCTCTAGCCACACTGCCCAAGTCACAGAAGGCAAATGGCTTTACTAAGGGCAAATTGTGCCTGACAAATTTGGTGGCCTGCTACGACGGGGTTACAGCATTGGTGGATAAGGGAAGAGCAACAGACTTCATCTACCTAGACTTGTGCAAAGCATTTGACACTGTCCCGCATGACCACCTTGTCTCTAAACTGGAGAAACATGGATTCGATGGATGGACCACTCGGTGGATAAGGAATTGGCTGGATGGTCGCACTCAAAGAGTTGCAGTCAACGAGCTTGATGTCCAAGTGGAGACTAGTGACAACTGGCATTCCTCAGGGGTCGGCATTGGGACTGGTGCTGTTCAACATCTTTGTTGGCAACATGGACAGTGGGATTGAACGCACCCTCCGCAAGTTTGCCAACGACACCAAGCTGTGTGGTGCGGTCGACACACTGGAGGGAAGGGATGCCATCCAGAGGGACCTTGACAGGCTTGAGAGGGGGGCCTGTGTGATCCTCATGAAGTTCAGCAAGGCCAAGTGCAAGGTCCTGCACATAGGTCAGGGCAATCCTAAGCACAAATATAGGCTGGGTAGAGAATGGATTGAAAGCAGCCCTGAGGACTTGGAGGTGTTCATGGACAAGAAGCTCAACATGAGCTGGCAACGTGCACTTGCAGCCCAGAAAGCCAACTGTATCCTGGGCTGCATTAAAAGAAGCATGATCAGCAGGTTGAGGGAGGTCCCTCTACTCCACTCTCGTGAGATCCCACCTGGAGTAGTGCGTCCACCTCTGGGGGCCCCAGAAAAAGAGAGACATGGAGCTGTTGGAGCAAGTCCGGAGGAGGGTCACGAAGCTGATCAGAGTGCTGAAGCACCTCTCCTATGGAGACAGATTGAGAGAGTTGGGGTTGTTCAGCCTGGAGAAGAGAAGGCTCCAGAGAGACCTGGACCTCAAGAGGGTCTACAAGAAAGCTGGAGAGGGACTTCTTTTTACAAGGGCATGTAGTGATAGGGCAAGGGGTAATGGCTTTAAACTTAAGGAGGGTAGATTTAGATTAGATATAAGGAAGAAATTCTTTACTCTGAGGATGGTGAGGCACCGGAACGGGTTGCCCAGAGAGGTTATGGATGCCCCATGCCTGGAAGTGTTCAAGGCCAGGTTGGATGAGACTTTGAGCAATCTGGTCTAGTGGAGGGGGTCTCTGCACATGGCAGGGGGGTTGGAACTACCTGACCTTTAAGGTCCCTTCCAACCCAAACCATTTTATGATGATGATTCTATGATGATTCTATGCTGAGACAAACATCACGGACCATAATCTTGAGTGCGTGTGTGCGCTGTTCTCAAACAACACTGAGTTAGACGTGTCAAATAAAAATAATGTACATAATTTCATATTTAAAATGTGACAATACTGAAGTTTGGGGAGGGTGGGGGATATTGTTTGAAAATGAGAGAAAACATGGAGGAAAAAACTCTTGGGGGAGCTCACTTGTAGCTACAACAGAGAGCTCACTAGTAGCTACAAAAGTAGCAAATGCTTGCCACTTAAAGAGCATTTTTAACAGCAAAGCTGTACCGACTGCCTGTAAATGTTGATAGCATGCATGAAAGTATCCACCAAGGTTTACCAACCTCTTAATGAAGGAGGACTCCAATGTTTCTCAGGTTTTGATGTACTGTGATGCTGGAGTACCTCACCTGCTGAAGAAGTGTTCCAGAGTTGTGTAACAAAATTAGAAAGAAATGTGAGGATCTCCTTGATCTCAGTACAAGGACTGAGTGCAAATTTTGAAGCAAAAAATGGACTCCCTCAATAAGTCAATGGAGATTCCCTCATTTCATGTACTAAGGTTGCTGCAGAAAATGTCTGAGTTTTGTCAGATGATGAAGAAGAAAAACTATACATGACAAAAGCTAGATGTGTTCCTTTTCCCAGGATAACTACATCTAAGCTGTATGTGCTAAAAGATACTTCATTTTCCAAACAAGCTTGTTTTAGATAAAATCCTGTCATCCCCATCAGGAGGAACACTATCTTACATTTATTCAACACTAAAATCAAAGAAATCCAAAACTTCTTTCCAAGCTTTAGGCAACTGTACCAAAATACATATAATTAAAATATTTTTAAAAAAATGTAAATTGCAGTTTAAAATATATTTCTAGAGTATCTCTAGTCTGCCTATAAAAAATACAACTAGGATTATCTTGGACACTTAAAAATTTGGTATAGAAAGATGATTTTCTTCTATATATTCTTCACAGCCAAGCTACCCAGGGAACAAAACTTGTGCATTGTGTGTACACAAAGAATACAGAACAGACAGAACAACAGCAATTCACATTTATACTAAGTATTAACTTAAATATTGTCAGGCTGGTACAATCGCATCCGTACTTCCATAGTGACCATGACAGTGACAGCAACAGTAACATTTCCTCATATCCTCAAATACAAAGGCTCTGTGCTCTCCAGAGTGAGCAGAGAAATTATTTGCATGGACCAGCATGATAGCAGCAATCAAGCTTATGGTGGTTTATGCAGAAGAAGTTTCTCAGTTGCTCATGGGAAACTGTCAGGTGTGACATGAAATGGAAGCTGTATGGATGATGAAAATGGTTCTAGCAAATGTTTGATATTAGAACTTTTTTTTTTTTTTTTAAGAGAATACAGACAATGACAAGATATGTTGATGTCACCCTACTACTACAGGAGGAAAGTAAGTACAATTAACCATTTTTACAGATTATGTATGATAGAAAAATCAATTGCTCTGAAGACATACCCATAGCATAAGCAATACAGCTCATTAAAAAAACCCTTTGAGGTATTACCAACTGTGTATGAGCTTTTTTTCTTTTTAATTAAGAAAGTTACTGAAGTTTTGTTTAAAAAGATAGGCCTCAAAACATGTTTGGCTGTTATTAAATCCTTTACTGATCCTTTAACGACCCTTCCTATATACTTCACAATGGTGAGGCCACATCTGGAGTACTGGACTCCCCAGTATAAGATGGACATGGAGTTAATGGTGTGAGTCCAGCTCAGGATCACAAAGACAATTAAGAAACTGGAACAGCTCTCATACGAGGAGAGGTTAAGAGATTTAAAAAAAATATTTTCTTCATGTAAATAGATGTGAGTATACCACAAAAACCTGCCAAATTCAGTTCTGTTAAAGCTGAGCTTCAAATTAAAGTTACTTTCAGCTTTTGATATAAACTGCTTTTATGAACAGTTCTATGAGCTGATTTTAAAATACCTATATATCACTGCAAGATACTACTACTAAATGAGGACAGCACAATTATATGAAAAATAAGACACATTTGTGATATGACAAGGGAAAAATACATTTCTTAAAATATTCTTGAAGTTATCAAAGTGCCATTTTTGATGCAGCAGTCTTTACCTCCATTGACAAGCAGTGATTCTTAGCAGCTGTTGAAACCTCTCAGAAAAGAGTTTTCTCTGTTGTTACTAAATGCTAATACTGCATTTGCCTTAGCAATTGTTAAAACATTTGAAATTATAGTTTTAAGGATTTCTAATGTTAGTTAAGTTAGTCAAAATATTTTCATCATCCCTTTTTCAACTTATGGTGGTGATCAGTCAAACTTTGTGCTTCTATATTTTGCGGTTATATGTCTGTTTTTTAGAAAATGAGCAATATCCTTTGTGAAAATCTTGAGATATTAAGAAGGTAAAACAACTTCCTTCTCCTCTGAATATTTCAAGAAAAAGAATAAAATAACAACTTTAAGAATATACCTTTAACAAAGACAGAGATTATTTATCACATATAAGCACCACAGTGGGTAACATTGGCAACTAAGTGATAAAGGAAGGAAAAGGGGCTTTAAAGGGAAACATTTTCTTTTGCGTCCCATGTTTTAAACTCAATTTTTATATTCTTACTTCTGTTGAGAAGCAGTATCTTAATCCTAGACTAATCTAGTTGAAGCCAATAGACACTATGCCAAAATGATCTAAGAGTGAACCTGAGTTGCATCATCATCCTACATTATGGGGAAATAATGATATTCATCGTTCCTTCCCTGCATGCATAACTTGCAGGAGAATGTGTGGGAAATCTGGACCAGACAAGAGCTGCAGTGCACTCTGGTGAGGTTCATGGTATTGGGGAGCAGGAGGAAGGAAGGGGTAAAGACCCTACAGCACAACAAGGAACGTTCATGCAACTTAGTTTTAACAGAGGAGGCGGTTAGATGGAGAAGATCCTGTCCTATTCATTCAGTGCAAATGAAGGCAGCAGTCCAAAGTCTTAGAGGATTTAGCAGTTTGTGAATCTGTGCCTGAGATTCTCGAGCAATTCAGTAGACAGTGGGACTGGCAACCTTTTCCGGATCTCACTGCAAAACACATTTTCATATGCTGTCTAGGCTGTCACACATTCATGGCTGATGACTGAAATTTTATTTGCCCCTGTATGCCTGAAGTCTAACCCAACCCCCATTTAGAAATTCAGGTTGCACGGTCAAACAATCCTCCACACGCTTATATGTATATCAGCTTCACATAGGAATCACAAACAGAAGATCTCCACTTACAATTGATAAACAAATGTATTAAACAAACTCAAAATAGAAAAATTTGTGCTTGGTCAGGTCAGCTGCCCGATTTTTCTCATTAGATGGACTTCAGAAGGAGTTTCCTCACCAGGCCCTTCGAGTTTCAGTTTAGAGACTCTCAATTCATCGTAAATCCTATCACTACAGATTAAATCTTGCAATCTACAGTGATCTCTGAGAAAGTTTGGCGCCATGCATTCTTCAAGGGCACACCTGAGCGTGCACATTCCCAATAAATTTCCGTAAGAATCAGTTACTCAGGTGCAGACCCAGTGAATAGAGTCCAATGCATTCAGCTGAACATTTTTGAATGTTTCCTGTCAGATGGAAAATGGTTTATTTCAAATGGCAAATGGATACCTTGAAGAACTGCCAGCTAAAAAAAGCCCCAATTCTTAATACAGTATACTGAAACCTTAAATGTAAGTAAGTCTACACAGATATGCCAGTATCTACATTGTCAACTAAAAAAATCATAGAATCATAGAATGGTTTGGGTTGGAAAGGACCTTAAAGGTCAGGTAGTTCCAATCCCCTGCCACGGGCAGGGACACCCTCCACTAGACCACGCTGCCCAAAGCCTCATCCAACCTGGCCTTGAACACTTCCAGGGAGGGGGCATCCACAGCTCCTCTGGGCAACCTGTTCCAGTACCTCACCATCCTCAGAGTAAAGAATTTCTTCCTTATATCTAATCTAAATCTACCCTCCTTCAGCTTAAAGCCATTAATATCATTACTAGACAGACCTGAACAAATTTCCCTCTTAGTGACTCAGATAGAAATGTATTAAAGTAAGGAAAGAACACAATCAGCGTCAAAGGAAGGAGAATTTGGCTCAGTAAACATCAAAATGATACTGCATTAATAAAATACATGACTTATTTGTGTGGTTATATAGTGAATGAATAAATTGTCAGACTATTTTAAACACAGATTAGGAAGATAGAGAGCTTTCCAAACCCCGTCATGATTTAATTCAGCAATTTTCATCAGGAAGATTCACAGAAAAACTGATTTTGTGCTGGCAATGACATAATGATTCTTCAGTTACTTTGGGACAATTGGGAAACATATTCATCTGACTTGTGGCAAGTCAAATAGAAGTAGAAAAATGTGGTATCCAAAATGATCCTCAAGATTTTCAGTATGTAAGAAATGTTGAACTAGAAGTCAAACCACGATAGTCTCTACAAGTATATATTTATGAACATTTAGGGTAATGATAGTTCATGGAGGCTTATGAAAACTATAAAAGATATAGCCATGCTACATGCATCTTAATCTACAGCCATGCATTCTCAATAAAGTCCATGGGAGACTGCATTATATCTAAGTTTCAAGCAAAAAGCAAAACAAAAAAAAATGCTTGCAATAAACACTGAAATCTTAATTACTAATTTAAAATTATTTTTTCAATTTAATTTATATTTTAAATAATGCTTGGAACATTACGCAGTAAACAATTTGAACCATCCAGTGGTTCACATATGAAGAATGATATGTAAAAGAAATATCAATGAATGAATAGTAGAATCTTTTAATTCATCATGATTTAGGACAGGTACCATGGAATAATCAGGAAAACTGTTTTTTCACAATGCACTCTCCGAAACCAGTATCCTCAATATTCCGAAATGTTATAAAGAAAAAAACAAACAAGCGAAAAAGAAGAAGAAGAAAGCAGGACCATGCTGTTCACCCACGCACCTGGAGGAACAACTCCAATACCATCATCAACATCATAATCTGAGATGTCACTATCACTGATTGGCCGAGATCCTGCACAACAGTAAGGTAAACAAATACCTGAACATCTGGTCGTGTTATAAAATGTAAAAATATGTTCATTTAACGTACAACTGAAATTAAAAAGATGATTTTAAATGTAAACAATAGAGGAGGAGAACTAAACTGCAGTGACTGACAGTGACGTTTCACAAGACAGCTGAGTCAATTTAAGATCTTACAGCTGCTGCAGCCTCCTTTCCTCTTCTCCTTCCCTCAAGTCCTCAGGAATCCTCTACTAGGATAGTTTATCTCACTAAATCAGCAAAAAGTTAACTCAAATTAAAAAAAAAAACAACATATACTTTTGTGCTATTTCAGTGAGTAAGCTGAATCAGCTTGCTGAACAGGAAAGGAGAGGTGGCAGCATATGGTGAGAGAGGGGAAGAGGAAATAGCACTGCCAGCTTTTAGAAAAGTTCAAATATCTCATGAAAACTAACCTTTAATTTACTCTCTCTATACATATCCTCATGTGGCAATTACAGCAGTATCACATTTTTATAATTCATTTCTGAATGTGCACCAATTTCCTACGTATTGGCTGGAATGAATGACTTCCATGTTTAAGAAAAATCAGAAAAATGGTTTGGAAACTTATTTTAAAATAATCCCCTATGTCCTTTGTATTTCTAAATAAATCTTAAATTGATGTAAATTAACAGAGAGGCTATGATAATTAAATATTTAAATACATTCATTATTTTAATATGCCTCATAGAAACCTGAAATCAGACTCCTCAAAAAACTGTACCTCCCAAATACACGCATAATATTTCTCTTTGCTGCAAAAGTATATTTCTCATCTGATCTATGAGCATATTGGAGTTTGAGACTAACTTTACAATGAAAAGTGGTGTAAGTCTCATAAGTCTTTAAGGAATTTCTCTTTTTAAATTATTAAAAAAAAGTATCCAATAATTATGAACTTCATCTTCCTATTTAAAAGGAAATTTATGCAAATAAATGTTTGAACAATTTTCTTTTGCTAGTGAAAACCATACCAATTCCAACAGGTTTCACATAGTTAAAAGTTATGTGTCACAGGTGAAAGGCTGCAATGTCATAATGTCATAATTTGCATCTCTTTTCTGCCACACATTCTCATTATGTTTGAAGACTATGAAATAGTATTTTTATCCTGTATATTAAAGTTAAATACCATTACACCATATCCAGCATTTCTAATTTAAAAGAGATGAATGGAATTTAGACTTACTTTGTAATTTTTTGCTAGTGCTTTCTCCACCATGAACATGTCTTCTTGGCATGAAAGGTGATGGCTGAGGCAGAGGTAGTGAAGATTCATCATGTGTCTGTAGCTTATACCAATGTGGTTCATCATCTAAAAGTGCTGTCTCCAGCTCTATAAGAATCTTTTAGAAAAATTATCAGGATTTAATTTTTCTTTAAAGGCACACACACACACAAACACATATATAAAATATATATGCATATGTATTCAAAACCAAACAATGAACTCAGGGGAAATGTGATTGTATGTATCACCTCTCCAAGAAATTCACTCTCTTCTTCTTGTACTCTTGGCTGATCCCATACGGTTATTTCAAGCATTCGCTCTCTAAAATCTCTACGATGTACATGTGAGTAGAGAAAAGTTTGGTTCCATTTTGGCTCTAGACTTTTCTTTACTGTTTTGGTCCTCCTTTTACTCTTATCACTGAAACATAAATATTTGTTGTAAATTGTTTGTAGAGATAAATCACAAAATGCCATCTACTCATCAGCACTCATCAGTTTTCATTCTTTCTGATCTGATAATGCCTAAAAAAGAAAAGTATTTGTGGTACAATGGATCACATTCATCCAAAAGTTCACAAAGTTAATTTGACACTGACTTGCATGATTCAAGTGCAGTTTTTTGTTATAACTAATCTAACTATAACGAATTATAAAAAGGAATTCTTTACTTCGTAAGCATTGATTGAAAAGTTGATTCAATACATGGTAAATTACAACATAATTTTTTAAACTGAGCTACTACCTTCTGTCTGGAAGAAAATACATTTTTACATAGGGATTCCTGGGGCGTCCATCTACTCTTGGTGGCAAATCTGTTGCTTGCAGAACATTTACTATTAACTGATGTCCCACTTTGTCGTACCACAGTTTAACCTACAAGAATTAAATTACCAGAAAACATTACTGAAAAAGGAGAAAAAACAGAATTTTAAGACTGCATCACATTAACCACAATGTAAAAGTAACCATTGTTTTTTCCAAGAGACAATGAGATATATCTTATTTCAAACCCCTTAATATTTAACTAAGTTAGATGGAAAAGATGATGGTATATACCAAAGATTTTTGTATTTACCACAGTTGAATAAAATGGAGGTCCCTAATTATACTTACATTTTTTATCGTAGTCACTGCATAATCTGGTATCTGTGAGTGCATTTAAATCAGCATATGTCTTAGCTCTGCACCTTAAAAGGTACATTTCAATAGGAAGCCCTGACCGCAGCTAAATTCGAGGCATAGTTGAAATCTATCTATCTACTCTGATTTATCACTTTGTAAATGTTCTTATGAGAAGTATAATATAGAGCTAAATAATTTCTAAAGAGTATAACATTATGTATGTACAAAACAAAGTCAAAGTGCTCACAGTATATTTAATAACCACAGCTTCAATTAGTATTACAGACAGTTCCAGGATGTAGTGTGTATCTAAATTAAAATGCATTACTGAACAGTGTAACTCTTAACAAATACACAGCTCTTTAAATGCTCCCCTAAAGAAGATAAAGTGATGCTATGCTTGTTATCTGCGGATTACTGGGCATGTACAGAAGAGTCACCATTTTCAGTGCAGATGGTACAGGATGACAAGTTGCAAGGCATTTTTATGGGCTCCTCTCAATGTAAATTCCTGTGCTCTTTGGTGTGTAAAGACAACAATTCTTTACCTCTGCTGTGATTACAGTGACGGTTTGTGAGTTTGTACACAGGGTCTTAAAAAACATTTGAAAGATGTCAGTCTTTACCAACAACAGACATTTCTCTTGACCTCCCAATAGACCTTGGGAATGTGAAGGGCTGAGGGACCAGCACTTCATAGATTTTCATTAACAAGTCAGGAAAAACAAAACATGCTCACAGAAAGCTGCCCTGGTAGGACTTGTGGTGCATCCCGCAGGGCTCCAGGGCTGGTCGGAGATATAACAGAAATAGAAGGCCTTTCCATCTTCTGGGATTCAAAAGAACTTGAACCTAAAAACACAGGAGAAACACATGAGCTTTCCATCCAAAATTTTGAAGCAAATTTGGATAATTTATGAATTGCTTTTCTTTGAATTTTATAAAATTTATATTTATACACAATGTAACTGCATAATACACAGAAATATTTTACACTGAGTAGATAGCATTGTGAAAAAGACTGTCTGGATATCCTTACCCCAGATTAAACATGCCAGTTTTTGTTTAATTTGAAATAACATATAAAAAGTGCTCCTCATATAGCAGTTACAAACCATACCAAGTGTTGTAAATAAAATATTGTCCTCTGACAGGATTACACATCTCTCTTCCAACCCAAACTATTCTATGATCTCAAGTCTTTGACGAATAAACCTACATCTGTTGTATGGATTATACTCCCAGTAGCCTCTGAAATTTTATCTCCCAAGGAACTGGCAGACAGGAAGGTACGCAGGACATGTGTCTGGCATGGAGGATGCTCCAGTGCCAGCTGGACATCAGCAGTTCTCCAGCAACGAAGCAGAGCCCTCATTAATGAGATGAGTTCATGACAGGTGTAACAGCACTCAGTGGCCCCATGGGACCCTGTCCCAGGGAAGGTTTCTGGTTGCATCTCAGACATGGCTCAGATAAGAAAGGACTGGGAGCCATAGCCCTTACGCTCTAGCTGACACTGTTCAAATGGGATAGTTAAAAACAAAACTTTGAAGCTAGCACCATCTAGCTACCTTTTGAAGCTAGATGGTGCAGGAGGTGAAATCCTGACACCATTTGTAACTTTGGCAATCCCTTACATGTGTTTTCTGTCTTAGGGCAAGTAAATGACTGTTTTGGGCCACAGCATGTATACCAGCATGGCACTAAGATCTAGAAGAAAACAATAAAATCCTGCTAACATTTGAAATCTATAAATTTTTTAATGAAATCTATATTGTTTCGACTTTAACAAACAAGACCAAAACCCATTGAATTTTGTCATACAAAAACTTTGGAGCCAATGCAGTCTCCCAGTGTTCACCTTTAAGAAAATTCATAGCTAAAACGACTGTGCTGGGTACAAGACCATGCCTAGTGAAAAGAATGAGGCATGTACTCACTAGACTCTAACGGGGGGTGAGAAGTCTCAGGAATCCGTGGAATATCACTAAAACGTGAATATACACATAGTAATTAGAAACAACGGAGATGACCTCTGCTGTAACAAACACATTTCTAGGACACTTTTTTAGAAATAGGGATCTGTTTCCGTTCTAATGGGTTACAAGGAAAGAAAGGGGAAATATTTAAAGACATATTTCCCACTAACATTCATGAAAATGAATGTTACAGATACAAACTACTTCTTTCAAGTTAAGGAACCAGCAGATGTAACAACATGAGCACTACGATGTTAATATTGTGGATGGATTCCATGATATTTTTACAACCAGAACAATAAAGTAAGAGGGCTTTTAGGACGAGAAAGGTGGCAAAAGGTAGTATAGCTACAGACATTCAACTGTTTTGGGGAGGAAAAAAATGGAAAAAAAAAAGACATAGATTAACTCACTAGTAATTTTTATATAAACGCCTCAAGGAGTTCACAGAATGAAACTGATGGAAGTGTCTTATAATAATAAAAAGAAAAAGTAAATAACATTAGCAATGTTAAACAAACAAAAGAATAATGCATTTCTTTAAGGGCTTAAAAAAAAAATCAAACCATATTACGACTACATATGGATATTTTTTGACATACACCTACGTAGCACACATACAAGTATAAGGAAAATCAAACTGGTTAAGTCCACACATATCTATCAAAATTTTGTCATCAACAAATTTACTCTTCCACCAAAATCTGGATGATGCTAGCTCTTGACTCTCTTTTGTTCTCAGCAATCATTGAAAATACATTGCCAGAGCAAGAAATGATTGTTATTGTACAAATGTTAGCAAAGCAGCAGAGCAGGAAAATGGAAACGAAGCACTTCAGTGAATTACGTGAAAATATTTTCATCTACACAAAATAACCCAAAATTGGAACCATAATAACATTTCTGAAGAACATTTACAAGATTTTAAGTTTAAAACTGAGCATTTTAAATGTATTCAGGCATTTCTCTGTTCAGTAAAATAGTATCTCACTGACTTGGGAGTCAATAAAATTCAGACTCCTAGGTATATAAAAGTCACTTATGAAAAAGAAACAGACACTTTAAGTCAGAAAAAGAATGTAACAGTGCCAAATCAATTGGTTTAAATTTGCTTTTCATGTCCTGCAATTTAAACTTCTGGTGCATGTGTTTTAAAAAAAAACTATTTCAGCTCCCAGTTAGTGTCTCACATGAACTTACATCCCTATCACTCCACAAGAATGTGCTTCTCTTTGCTTTGACTTTGAATTCAAGAGTAATGTGGTTTCCTCAAGCTCATAGAAATATAACTGCATTACTTATTCTTGACATGGCATAGTACTGCTTCACAAGCATATAAACAGATTAAAGATGTGTTGCACAGCAGGGCTGCTGTGCAGACTTCCTCCTCTTAACATTTTCTCCCTCCAATTTCCAGGGCAATTCTCATCAGGCTGAAATATTTACTTAGCATATTGAAATTGATTTTTCTGTTCAATAGAACATTAAGTTTTCAATGTTTTCTTGTGCTAGAATATGAACAATTTTGTCTGCAGTATAGCATTGTTTGTAATAATATCCCATTTAGGGTATCTAAAATAGGGGTCGCATGTGCAAGGAGTGTTTCAACATGGAAAGTGCAACCTACTGTGCCAAGTTTCATAATCCCTGGGTAGGTGGAAAAATGGTCAAGTTGATAGTCCTTGCCAGGTAAAAGTAAATGACAAAAATAATCAGATCTTTCTTAAGACTTTACTCATCAGACAGAAAAGAATGGAAAGTACAATTTTTTTGTAATGTATTTTTCTAAACCCCTTGTAATTCTTACAAAAAACCTGATGGGAACAATGGAAGCTAGAACATAAATTTCAACTTCCATAAAAATGCATGGCTCACAATAGAAATGTTATTTGGCAGCTTTCCCACCCACCTCATTCATCCCCACCATACTAGAGCTCCTTCAGCCTCAGGAAATCTCTAAAACTTTACAGTACAATGGATAGTTTATATACATGTGTGTGTGTGCGTGTGTATAAAAGTATTGCTAGGAAATCTCTTCCCTAATATATTTATCTTGTTCAAGCACAGCTCCACACAGAACTGCAAGACACAAAAAGCAAAGAAATGAATAAATTGAGTGTGCAATACAGTACCGATCACCAAACTCATGGCAGAGTATCCCAACAAGCTCTGTAACAGTACTGCTTTCTGCTACTGATTTCAAAATGGACATTAAATAAGTCAAGGCTATGCTTCTGTCCATATTTAAACTTCTTACAAATTCAATAATCCACTTTACATAATCATTTCTTAAATATTACATGCCCACAAGTAAATAACTGATGTTATATATCTAGTGACTTTATCATATGTATGAGTGGTATTTTTTTAAATAATGGCATTTTAATTACAGAATGAAAATTCTGAAAAGAAACTATAATCTAAAGCTTGTTAGATAAGAAAATTAGTCTTATGTAGTAGAAACCCCATGACTTAACATATTCAAAACTAGACTAGTCAAAGCAAATGGTAAAAGCAAAGAAAGAAGTAGCATACCCACTTCTTTAAATTAAGAACAAAATTTTGCTCTGCTTTCAGAGCAATGTGAACGTCACAAAAGTCAGGTCAGACACATTCCAGACTGTCAGAGCTGCTGACATCGAGCTTTGTCTTTCTATCTCTACCCTGAAAGGCAAAGGCTTTGTGCAATCTTATGTAATGTTACATATGACTGTTTTATGTCTGATCCTTCCACATCTCTATGAATACATAAATTAAACCAAACTATACCTTAGGTTAAGATTACTCTGTGCAGATATTTGGTCTGTGGGGATCACTATTTTGTAACACACAGGAACAGCTATAATTTCTCTGAGGGCAATAGTCAAGTTCGATCACTGAAGACAAACCAAATTCAAATGTGGCTGTAATCCACGCTTTTTTAGGTTGCTCTAGGGATAGAAGTGTCTTCCTCTATGCCCTACAGAGTCTTCAGAGTTTCTGAATATCTGTCCCTGATGCTCATCCTCCTATTTCCCAAACCGTTCCCTCCTCAAAACCCGTAGATCAATTTGCAGTTTGCACTAACTACATTACTGGAGCAAGTCTCTGGAATTCAGTACTGCCTGATTATGGAGGTTCAAACTACTTGCAAGCACCTAGAGCACAGTAACAGTCCCTGCACAGAGGAGCTGAATCACACCAGAAAAACAACAATTTTGGCAATATTATCTGTGGAAATCCAAACAAAGATATCTGACACAGAAAAGAGAGACAAATGAAAAAATATTCAGTTTACCTGCACTATCCCATAGAGCTCACCCAAGCACACAACAGACGGTAAGTTAGTTACCATGCCAGGTTTCCTCTCCAAAAAGCACACTGTCAGAGGATTTTCTATGCTGTCCTATGTTAACCGCCTCTCACGTTGTATGCATATTCATAGGTGATTCTTCCCCTCATATTCAGATAGCCAACCCATTAATTCTACCTTTTTTAGGTTTCTTATCTACCATGTGTTGCAATCATTAGCATTAGCGTCAATTAGTTTCTATGGAGTTTTTATGGTACTATTGTGGTTATACTGTTTATTGTTACGCCTTCATCTGCTAATAGCGTTACATGTTTCACATTTTTCTCTAATAAACATCCTACAATTATCCATTACTCATAATTACGTTTGCTGGTAGATGCAGAAACCCAAACTTACAAGACTGAGCAAATTATTTAGACATCAATTCTGTAACTGGCAATCATCTAATTTGTGGGCTTACAGTCCTCCCATTATTCACTTAAGCCAAACTGTGTCATATTTGGGCTTTTTAGACCTAATATGCTAGGAGTTTTTAAATAGAGACCATTAAGAGTGCTGGTACATTATTTGCATTATTAATACTGAGCAATGAAAACACTTAAATTATGCAGACAAAATATCATTTTTCAGGTCTTTCGGGAACTTATTTCCTCACAGGAATTTTCGGTGTAATGGATGACCACTTAATGCTGTATCAAGCAGCTTCAGTTTTACTGAGTCAGCTCCTAAAGTAGACACAAAACTTTGATATACTAGATTTATTGGATTAAATAAAATTCCGTGTCATGAATCTGAAACAATCACAAAGTTTGGATAACAAGACAAGGGGGTGGGAGGGCAGGGTGTCAGGGAAGTAAGCTGTTAATGCAAGCAAACCATTTTCCATTACGTAACACAATTTACATGGATTATAATTAATTAAAAAATAAAAAGGCTTGTGCCGTGTGTTCTTTTTTTTGTTAACTTATATCAGGATTTCCTTCATTGTACAATGCAAGATAATTTTTGTTCTTTTAAGATGACAGAAAGATAAAGTCCAATATGATATAAAATGAGGATTTTGAGTCATTGCTGCTGAAGAAAGGAAATCTCTTTAAATTTCAAATTATATCCTTTGGTTGCTTTGGGATATTCATTTGCTCTTCTCAAAAAAAAAAAAAAAACCAAACCCAAACAAACCCACCCAAAAAAAACCTTAAACAAACAAAAAAAATTTATCAAGACACAAGTCTACAAGAATAGTGTTAATATAGCATGTAAAAACCTCCATGTCAAGACTCCGTTTATCTCAAAAGCACAATCTGATGTGCTCTATTTTTGCCTATGTCTTGAAAAAATATGCAGGGGTCATCCAAAGCAAAACTTTACATTTTATTGGTACTATCTCTGGGTGCCCTTTTTTAGTGTAAAATTCACCGCTTAGATTCAGAAACATTCTCTGATTGTGAATGCACTTCATGTTCTATGCCTGAGTTCAAAAGTTGTGGTATTTTCTTTTGATTTTTCTTCAAGAGTATGCCACTGGAATGTGGTAATCTTGTACTTCAGTTTTCGAGGCTATTAGATTTATCAAATTCATAAACAAAAATAATTCAATTGGTTTAATAATGAAGTTATCCCAAAAGTTTAAGGACCCAAGACATTGGCAAATATACTGATAGCAATGAATGTATCTTAAGCTCATTATTTAAAATACTAATCTAGCACCTTCCTTTTATAACAGTTGTACAAATCAATTTTCAGGTCTTCTTCAACTGTGACATGGAGTTCAAATCAGGTCCACTATCAACATATTTCTTTTCTGGTGATTTAAAGTAAAAAAATAGACTTCCAAAAATCTCCTTATGGCATTTTATTTTTAATTATAAAGATGTAGGACTGAATTTGCAATTTTCAGTCAGGAATGTCTCCTAATTTATGCAACTAAAGAATGTAAAATAAGGTTTCTACTCCCTCAGTCTCCATGTGGATGGTAATTTTAGTCTTTAACAACCACTATTATTGCATCAAGCTTTCGTTTTCCATTAGAAGGTCAAACTCATAACTGGAATTAGCAAGAAATGTTAATTTTATTTAAGTACTTTTAATAGTGATTGCCATTGAAGAGGTAGAACTCATGCAAAATATAGCTACACTTGCACAGTATAGACAAAACCAAACATCAAAAACTGACATGAAATAAATGTAAAAGAATGTTTTAGTCGGAAGGAAAATTAAGAGCGTTTTTTTGTTTCTAAAAATGAAAACATCATATATTAGACAGATAAAAATTATACTTAGAATGACATCTAGCAAATTCAAAATGAAATAATCATGCATTCAAAAGGAAGAAACAGTTTATCATCTACCTACAGGATACTGGTATTTAGGGACTTTGAGTGTACATGAACTCTGGGAATGTGACAAACTACAGAGAGATTTAAATCCATTCAATTTTTATTTTTTTTTAAACTAGCCAAGAGTCACTTTTTATTGTTAATCATGTGACTGTTCTGCAATATAAATGTGAATTTACAATATATGATTCATATTCAATCCTGTAAGACTTAGCTCAAAATGGTCCCAACAGAGTTGTGTTCGGAGAAGGAGTGTAGTATATCACTGAAACAATTGTGACAAATGCAGGGCCAACCTCACTAATCTTATCAATTCTAATAGATTTTATGATCTTTCTAAAGCTTTACATGGGAAATCAAGAATAAATAAGAACAAACCCCCAAACCTGGACATACAATAAATAAAAAATAAGATTATAAACATAACACGTTAATGCTAAATTTTGATGAAACAAATTACCTTCATAAATATGAAGGTACTTTTGTTTCCACTTTTGATTTTGATGACAGTATCATTTAAGGCTAAATATGGTCTTTTCAATTAAGAGTTTTGGTTTTCCTATTTTTAGCTCTTTAAAGAAGGTCTGTCTAAAATCTTACTAGCATTGACTTTTAAAATCCTGCAATGCTCAATGTTTGCTGATGCTTCCTTCTGTTCTTGAATTCTCGTGTAAGTTATTCTGTTTTAATGAAGCTAAAAGCCTGACAACCAGATTTTTCTCATGCACACATCCACTAGATCCCACAATTTTTCCTTTGCCAGTCAGCAAAAACCTTGTAAGTACTTTGACCATACAGAAAACAACATTTATACTTATAGATATCAACGCAAAGATCCAAGACTGTAAATGGCAGCGAAGAAAATGGAATATATAGAATGTCAATAATAGAAAGTGAATCATATTCCATTATTAAGAGATTAAAAAAATGAACTCACAAATAGTCCCTTTAAAAGTCCTATTAGTAGAAGTAATACCTGTGCTTAAGAAGCAAGTCTTTAACCTTACCCAATCGGCCTTGAAACAATAATTTCAACTTGAGGTTCCGATTTTGATTCTAAAATAATGTTGTAAACTTCTTCATTTGTAGCTCCAGGCAATGGTTTACCATTCCATTCTAGAACTTCATCCCCTTGAATTTAAAGAGAAGTTTATCTCATTTTCATATTCTTTTACAAAGAAGTGCAAAGCATTTATGAAATCTATATAACCAAGTAACATTGCAAAAAAGGTTTTTGAGACACTACCAAGGCTCCTTTCTCAGAACACTGCAACAATTTGTACACACAGAACATATTAAAGAAATCACTTGTGCAAACATATTAAATATTTCCAAAATAATACAGCACCTGTTATTGTGCTACGAAATGAAAGTCTTTTTAAAAGATCCTTTATTAACTAGTGGTAACAAACTTGGAAAATAGGTTAGTCTTCAAAAATGAAAAATATAAATACCTACTCTTAAGCCTTTAAAAATCATGATATTTTATTACAATTTATATACTGTGCATTTCAATTTCTCTACAAAAAGGACAATCTTCACTGTCTGTGTCAAATGAACCAAAAATAAAAGCAAGGAGTGAGTCACTATCTCCTGAGGATGTTAGGGGGACAGAAAGGAAAACATGATGTGAAAGTTATTTAGGTAACTTTCTTTTTTCAGCTTGCCATTTCTGGAATTTAAATAGTATGTAGATTACACTGTATTTTGGCCTTATTATAAAAAGGTAAAAATCTTGAAGTATGGTTTCTAAAGAAAGTTCAGTATATACAATTAAACTGCAAGAACCACAGCGTGAATTTACATTCTTATACTCCATCATATGCAGCAGTCAAAACTTCACAACCATTATTTAATGACACAAATAACTCTTCATTGACAATGATCAGATTCAGCCAGGAACAACCCTCCAGTTGCTGGCTTTGCTCCTTTCTGAGAAGATCTAAGCCAAATGATCAAACTTGTGCTTGTTAATAAGCCAAGGAAAACCATCCTAACTGAAGTCCTATCTACCAAAACGCATGGCTTCACTTTCTTTTTGTGTTCAGTGATTGTCAGTCCTTTTTCCCAAACAGCCTATATTTGGGGATTTTAAGGAAGGAATCCACAGTGTATTCCACTGGCTTTCAAAGCATTTTGGGATTCTTTAAAGCATAAGGGCTGCTTGCTAATGACAGACTTGATCAAAGCTGGCTGACATAAGTTTAATTTTCTACCATACTGTTTGGTTGAAACAGGTTAAAATATTTCGTATATTTATTACATAATCTTATATCAGAGGGGAACAGAAATTAGATATTGCCTAGGAACTTCATTTAAAATTTATACAACTCAGTAAAAACACATGCAGTTTCTCCTGTAATTCTGTCTGTATTTTAAAGCTAACAACTGTTATAAACTAACATGTTTTTCCCTAAAATAAAATCTGACTTTTTTAGAGATAATTCACTTAATGTACAAAAGCATCCCAGGCATCAAAAGGAACAAGATGTGGCCAGCTTTGCAATAGTTAGAACTTAATAGCAAAACCTGACAGGGACATATGCTAAATTTGTAACACTAAAATCACGATTTAAACCTAATTTACACAGCAGTGAATCTATCACATTTTGAAGAAGAGAAAATAGGTGCAACATGTTAGAGAATCCTGAAGAGGAACATGTAAGGTCTCTGTATTGCTATTTTAGAGGACTTAAGCAGCTTTTTGAGAGTCAGTAGGAGATCAAACAACTAAAAAAAATAAGGAGTTGCCAAGATGATTAAATATAAGATCATCGTAGTCAGAATGCTAAATTAACAGAAGTGACTCCAATTATTCTTACTGAAGACTAGATCCAAATGAAGATTTGAGTGAAAAGGCACTTCTGCTAGTTCTAACCAGATCACCACCATCCATCTTTCGCTCAGTTTGATCTTTTTGACCAGTCAAGCCCTTTTACTTTGTCTCTTTCATCTAAGATGCTGTCTGTAAGGCTTACATTCTGCTCAAAGCTGGCTGGCAGAACCTACAGGACACCTGCACCTTTACAGAGCCACTTCTGCTGGTGAGGCATATATCCCAGGATATCTAAGACGCATGTTCAGCAGAGATAGAAAGTTTTCAGACTTATGCTGCAGATCTCTGGATTTTTTCATATTGTTTTTTAAAATAGTAATTTGGATTGGGAGATACCTCTGGGTGTCAGCTAGTTCCAAACGTTGGTCAAAGTAGGGCCAACATCAAAGGATAGACCAGGTTGCTCAGGGATTTGACCAGATGAGATCTGGGTATCTCAAAGGAAGGATATGCAACATCTCCTCTGGGCAACCTGTTTCAAGCCTTAACTATCCTCTCTAGATACAAGAAAAAAAAAAATTCACAAACAGGATCTCCCTCATTCCAGCTTGTACGTGTTGCTTCTTGCATGATCGGTGTGTACTGCCAAAAACAGTCCGGCTCTGGGTTCTCTACAGCCTCCATTAGCCAAGTAAAAACAAGAATTAGACCCTCCCATAATCTCTTCCTTGCCAGTTTGAACAAGTCCAGTTGTCTCAGCTTCTCGTATCCCATATGCTCCAGACCCCTAATCAACTTTGTGTCCCTCTGCCCAACCTAATCCAGTTTGTCAGTATCTCTCTTGTATTAGAGGAACTCAAACTGGATACAGTCCTCCAGATACCGCCTCATAAGCACTGAACAGAGAGCAACAACCACCTCTTTCAATCTGCTGGTGACAATCCTGCCATTACAGTCCTGTACATGACTGGCGTTTGCTGCAAGGGCACTTTGCTCACTCATGTTCAATTTACTGTCCTCCAGCACCTCCAGATGCTTTGCTGCCAAGCTGCTTTCTAGCTGACTGACTCCTAGTGCTTACTGATACACTGGGTTATTCTGTTCCTCATGCAAGACTTCATATTTGCCTTTATTAAAATTTATGAGGTTATACTCAAAGATTTATCAACTAGCCAAATTTTGGAGGTTTTTCATAAAGACGAAAAAGCAAGTGTGTTTTCCTAACAGCAAGGAGTCATCCATGCCTTTTTTTTTAGTGTTTTAGTCCCATACAATAGGATGAATAGACTTTCATTCATTGAAAACCTGTGCAAAACAATGTATTTTTTCTGTGAAATTACTTTGGCTCTAAAAATATTTTTAGAAATTAAAAATAGCTTTGACTTAAAAAACAACCTGGACCAGACATTAGAAGTGTAGTATTTCAGCCCAAATAGTTCAAGACTAGTGGAGAGAAACTTATTTTCTGTAATTATAATCTGCAGTTAAAACCTATAAACAACTACGATAACTGGTGCTCTCAACCCCATGTATATTGACTTGGTAAAAAGAATTAAAAATAAAAATTAACAAATGCCAAACCAAAATAGGATATTTTTAGAGACTCATTATCTATTATACTTCTTTATTACTATTTGCTTCATACAATTATCCTAAATTCATAAAAGTTGTCATTGGAGCTTCTGGATTCCTAAGAAGGCACTGCATAGACTTCGGTTTGCTAAGACAACACTGGGAAAATAGTTGCTTAGAGCCATGGTAAAAATATAAACCACTAAGAAGTAATTTTGAAAACCAACCGCTGTGCACAGTTCTCACTTCATTTAGAAGCTTGAAAAGTGCCAACAGCACAGCCACTTATTTGTAAGTAAGTGTGGTATATATATCTTATATAAATGAAATATTTTATGCTCCTTTTCTTCGGTTGCTTTCCATTTTTATTTGTAACAATTCGCATTGAAAGAAGCACTAATAAAGTCCATTGTGTTCACAGTGCAGGTGACACTATAGTGCAAGTAAAGTAGCTGTAGTGAGTTTTGTTTGCCACAATGAAACAGTTTTAAAAAATATTTGCATTGCTTCTATAGAGTGTAACAAGCAGCTCCTGAGCTAGCAAGCAAAAATTTCCCAGTGACACTCAGTCCTGACAGCCACATTGATCAGAAGTGTCTGTTATTTTGCTCATACATCCAAGCAATTTGAGTTAATAATAAATTAGAAATGTAGGCAACTGTGGTATTTCATAATAAGTTTACAGAATTGTCCTGTATTTTAAAAATATTAGCATATCACATAATCAATGTTAATATAAATTAACAGCTGCATTACAAAAAGCCTTAATTAAAAGACAATGTATTTCATATGCAACTGATTGATTTACCTGCTCTGAGATGCCCCACCACATCAGCCAAGCTACCTTTCTTCACTTTGGTAATGAAGGCACCGAGTCGTCCTAACTCTGTCATTTTTCCTCCAACAACCTGGTTAATCATAAATTTGTGAGTTTCCAAGCCACAGATCAGTAATCATATGAAACAGAAATATATAGACAGATCAGTTTTAACATTATTTTTAAAATTAAACCTAAAATACTCATAAGCAAATCTATTCGCAAATTGGGCTTTACAGAAGCTTAAAGACAGTTAAGGATACAAAAAGGCCAAATCTACTTGAAAAGAAGTAAAGCTGACACAGAATGAATAAAATTGATATTCCTTTTAATGTGCTTGACTAATCAATCTTATACAGTTTTCTAATCATCTAAATTTGTTGCAGAAAGAACGTTTCTCAATAAATAAACAAGAAAATGTACTTTTTGCAAATAGATGTCTGTCGTGTTCTTAAGTTTAAATTACATAAACCAAATGTATGAAAATCACCAAATGCAATTGGTACAACAATTAAAAACTTAGCAAATACACTAATATGAAACATGGGCAAACAGTTCACAAAAACAATGCTATTGCTAAAACCTAGGGCCTCTCATCCAAGCACATGACAGGACAAAACAGCAACTTCTGGCTTTTGTTAAACAGAACTAAGAGAGCTATTTTTGAAGATAACTGTATGATACAGACATCAGGAAAATCAGAAAAACAAGGTGCCCCCAAGAGATTAGATTTTTGATGAAATATAAAACAAGAAAATGTAGGCTTGCTGACTTTCTATTCTCTTTAGCTATCTTACTCTCTTCAGTTAGGGTTTTTTGTCAGGACTATCTGGGGAGGAGTTTTATAATAAAACAAAACAGTGGAACCCTGGACCATTAAGGATTATTTCCCCATCTTGCAATCACAGTAACTAGTAAGGGCTTTAATACAGATATATGCCTGACTGAAATGCAAACAGTAGAGCTAGAAAAGGCACAACTCCATTAGTGCATTGCAATGTGCAGTATATATATGTCTTGCAGACAGGAAACTGAACAACCACACTTTATAATCAAAGTGGTTCAGGTCCTCTGCCATGGATGAGTGGAAGACTGCACAGAAGGATTAAATACATTTACATTCATAATTTATCTGTATAACTCCCAAAATTTACTAAAAATGAGGAATATATTTTTGTCAAATGACCATCTAATTGGAAAGTCCTCTGATTTAATGTGTTAGACCTCTAGGTCTAAGGTCAGTGGAAGCCTCTTTCATTTACCACATAAACCATATAATACTTACTTTTAGCCCCAGTAATGCACCTGATTCTTTTGGCATGGTTGTTCTCTTGTTAAGAATAACACGCCCAATTAAGCGATCTCCCTCTTTAGAAGGCTGCCACGTTACTGGATGCTGTTAAAAAAATAAGCAGTGGAATTAAAGAAGTGCAATCATCTTCCTGTATTTAGATGCACATCTATAAACCAATTTATAAACCAATAAAGTTTCTGGATCATTATGTCACGGTAGACACAAACATCCTTCAGATGTTTCTTCAATGGTATCCTGGGGTGCATCCAGCACGGCATTGCTAGCCGGTCTAGGGAAGCGATTGTCCCGCTCTACACTGCGCTGGTGCGGCCTCACCTCGAGTACTGCATGCATTTTTGGGCACCACAGTACAAAAAGGACATAAAACTATTGGAGAGTGTCCAAAGGAGGGCAAAAAAGATGGTGAAGGGTCTAGAGGGGAAGACATATGAGGAGAGGCTGAAGTCCCTTGGTTTGTTCAGCCTAGAGAAGAGGAGACTGAGGGGAGGCCTCATCACGGCCTACAGCTTCCTCACGAGGGGGAGCGAAGGGGCAGGCGCTGATCTCCTCCCTCCGGTGATCAGTGATAGGGCCTGAGGGAACAGCATGAAGCTGCGACGGGGGAGGAGCTTAGGTTGGATATCAGGAAAAAGTTCTTCACCAAGAGGGTGGTCAGGCAAAGGAACAGGCTCCCCAGGGAAGTGGTCACAGCACCGAGCTTGACTGAGTTCAAGAAGCGTCTGGATAACGCTCTGTCATATGCTCTGATTCAGCTGGTCTGTGTGGAGCCAGGAGTTGGACTCAATGATCCTTATGGGTCCCTTCCAACTCAGGATATTCTACGATTCTATGATTCTATGTGTTACATATTGCACCCGAGCTTTCTATTATTCTATCTATTGGACTCATTAAATATTTATGCCCACTTTAAAAAAATCTCAGCACTAAGTCTGCAGGTAGAATTATAATATAATTCAAAGTTCAATACAATTAAACATTTTAAACATACCTTAGGCAATAAAACTAAACATTTACTTTTAAATTCCATAATCCTGAAAAGTACATTCATAAATTCTGTTCTTTAGAATAATACACATGTCATACAGCTCTACCATATGGGTTCACTACACAATAAAAATCCAAATGATCCTTTCCCACTCCAAGTCAATAGAAGAAGTCACTAATCTCTCCCAGAGCAGCATCACACTCACAGCTGCTTTTGTAGTGTATAGTGAAATCCAGTATCATGCCTATGAAAGAATTAAATTCAAGTTAAAGTTCAGGCAATTTTATTAGTAGACATTTTGATGAAAATTTCTTTCTGATTTCAATTTCCATGATCCACTAAATATAAACAATTTTTCATATAATTTGTAGGAATAACTTTTACAACAAAATATCTACATTTTTTTGTAGGAATAACTTT